ACAGCACCTTATTCCAAAATGAGGCTGGCTTGTCCAAATGTGCGTTTGCATACCTCAAGCGACTCTGTTTGTGGCGTGTGTGCAGAAAAGGTTTCTTCCGCATCACTCTCCCATACAGCTTCTCCTTGTGCAAAGTGCGCTGAATTGTTGAACGATACACCATCTGCAGCAAGATTATGTTGTAGGTCTTTGGAGGTGGTCTGTGGGCTGTTTTTGACCGTTCTCACCATCCTTTGCCTTTGCCTCTCCGATATTTTACTTGGCCTGCCACTTCTGGCCTTAACAAGAACTGTGCCTGTGGTCTTCCATTTCCTCACTATGTTCCTCACAGTGGACACTGACAGCTTACATCTCTGCGATAGCTTTTTGTAGCCTTCCCCTAAACCATAATGTTGAACAATCTTTGTTTTCAGGTCATTTGAGAGTTGTTTTGAGGCCCCCATGTTGCCACTCTTCAGAGGAGAGTCAAAGAGAACAACAATTTGCAATTGGCCACCTTAAATACCTTTTCTCATGATTGGATGCACTTGTCTATGAAGTTCAAGGCTTAATGACCTCACCAAACCAATTGTGTGTTCCAATTAATCAGTGCTAAGTAGTTACAGGTATTCAAATCAACAGAATGACAAGGGTGCCCACATTTTTGCATAGCCTATTTTTCACATCTGATTTAATTTCATACAACTTAATATTGCTACACTAAAAATCTTTGTCTGGACAATACCCCAGTACTCAGCTTTTATTAGAAAATGAGTGGCATGCCACTGTGATCATTTTCTGTGACGACAGAGTAAATTATTATGCAGCCTCAGAGGGGTGCCCAAACTTTTTCATACAACTGTATCTGCTATAGAGAGACACGAAAGAACATGAGAACATTTGTTTTGATTAGACGTGGAAATAAAAGTGCTGAAAGCATGTTGGCTCACTATTTAAAAAGAAGATGGAGAACAAGCTATAGGATGAAAGATACCGGAGTTTTGCCGCAGGTACAGCCGACTAGCGCTAGTTAACGCTACCTAGCAAACAACATTTTTACAAATCGATACTTGGATTCAAAGTATGGATACAATATCATCCAAAAACAATATCGCAATATGTACACTACCGTTCAAAAGTTTGGGGTCACTTAGAAATGTCCTTGTTTTCCATGAAAACATACATGAAATTAGTTTGAATAGGAAATATAGCAAAATGCATAGGAAATGTAGTCATTGACAAGGTTAGAAATAATGATTTTTAATTGAAATAATAATTGTGTCCTTCAAACTTTGCTTTCGTCAAAGAATCCTCCATTTGCAGCAATTACAGCCTTGCAGACCTTTGGCATTCTAGTTGTCAATTTGTTGAGGTAAGATTTCACCCCATGCTTCCTAAAGCACCTTCCACAAGTTGGATTGGCTTGATGGGCACTTCTTACGTACCATACGGTCAAGCTGCTCCCATAACAGCTCAATAGGGTTGAGATCCGGTGACTGTGTTGGCCACTCCATTATAGACAGAATACCAGCTGACTTCTTCTTCCCTAAATAGTTATTGCATTGTTTGGAGCTGTGCCTTGGGTCATTGTCCTGTTGTAGGAGAAAATTGGCTCCAATCAAGCGCCGTCCACAGGGTATGGCATGGCGTTGCAAAATGGAGTGATAGCCTTCTTTCTTTAAGATCCATTTTACCCTGTACAAATATCCCACTTTACCACCACCAAAGCACCCCCAGACCATCACATTGCCTCCACCATGCTTGACAGATGGCATCAAGCACTCCTCCAGCACCTTTTCATTTGGTCTGTGTCTCACAAATGTTCTTCTTTGTGATCCGAACACCTCAAACTTCGATTCGTCTGTCCATAACACTTTTTCCCAATCTTCCTCTGTCCAGTGTCTGTGTTCTTTTGCCAATCTTAATCTTTTCTTTTTTATTGGCCAGTCTGAGATATGACTTTTCTTTGCAACTCTGCCTAGAAGGTCAGCATCCCGGAGTCGCCTCTTCACTGTTGATGCTGAGACTGGTGTTTTGCGGGTACTATTTAATGAAGCTGCCAGTTGAGGACCTGTGAGGCATCTGTTTCTATTTGTCCTCTTGCTCAGTTATGCACCGGGGCCTCCCACTTCTCTTTATATTCTGGTTAGAGCCAGTTTGCGCTGTTCTGTGAACGGAGAAGTACACAGCGTTGTACGAGATCTTCCGTTTCTTGGCTATTTCTCGCATGGAATAGCCTTAATTTCTCAGAACAAGATTAGACTGACGAGTTTCAGAAGAAAGTTATTTGTTTCTGGCCATTTTGAGCCTGTAATCGAACCCACAATTGCTGATGCTCCAGATACTCAACTAGTCTCAAGAAGGCCAGTTTTATTGCTTCTATAATCAGCACAACAGTTTTCAGTTGTGCTAACATAATTGCAAAAGGGTTTTCTAATGATCAATTAGCCTTTTAAAATGATAAACATTAAATGATAAAAATTGCTTTTCTTTCGAAAACAAGGACTTTTCTAAGTGACCCCAAACTTTTGAACGGTAGTGTAATTGTATTCATTTTTTCACCCCATCATTAATGCTTAGTATGTCAGACTTACAGATTGGTTGTTGTATTTTTGTATTCTTCCAGACATCATTACTGTCAAATATCTTGTTTTATCCAGGACACTAATCCTTCTTTGACAAACATGCACACATACACATCACACTCCAGAGCACCTACTAGCCCTGCAGCCAAACAGACATGTTGTAGTCAGTCAGCCATTCAGTCAGTCAGTCAGTATAACAGTTGTATGTCTGTCAGCATAGCACTAGGTCTTTCCTTAAGAGACAACCGAAGCGCTAAGCTCTCTCAATCCCCCTCTTCTCCGCAGGGCACATATTTCTACTGATGCACAGAGGACACACACGGACACACCTGACAAAACACACACTCAGAAGATGCTGGGGACTAGCTCCTGAACCGCCGCCCTCTTGGTCTGTCTAACTTTTTTTTCACATGATACATTGCTCATTTGCAGTGCCTGGAAAGAGTCAAAAGATGTAAATGATGCATAAAGAACAATAGTTTGGAGTTGGATTCCTTCGAGATACAGTTCATAAGACAGTGGAGAGCGGAGGACAACCACCAGCTCACACGAAACCTTCACACTAACCTAAACACACTCACAGGTCAGCTGTTGAGGTGCAACTATCTGGGAAATCCTGAATTACAAATCGACTGTCTCGTCATATTTCTCTCCTGCGCCTCTACAGTACCACTGATATGTCTATGGTGTCCCTTGCCGCTCTAAAAGTAATATGATATCTATGGTTCCCGTGCTGTCTGTACCCATGATATAACGTCTATGGTTTCTACTTTCTACACAGCTTGTCAACAAGCAGTGGCGCAGCCAAACCCTCCGTGTTACTTCTGTTCCTACGTCCAACTACATATACTCTATCTGCTGCCTGGCACCACTACACAGCTAGCTCATCCAGCCAACCAGCCCAGACTAGGTGGAGATATTTGATCAAATATCAATGTGTGTGTGTTTTATAATTGTTTGGAAGCAGACCGAAGAGGGTAAATCAAAGCCATCCTCTTACTGTTTTATAACTCAGTAGGACTATTACTCATAGTCATAGTGTAGCATTCATTTCACTCAGGTAAAAATAACAATATATTTGGCAAGTGTTCTGGTTTTATTGCCCTGGCCTTAGATACTTTCCCAAACAAAGAAATTGCTTTATGACATAATGCTGACACACACACAGGCACACACACAGTCGCACACTACAGCTTCCCTTGATGACTTGGCGTTAGATCGCTCTGTGTGCAAGACAGGACAGGCACAGAGTGAGTCACTTAGTTTAACCCTTTCAGCGGAACACACACACACCATTTCAGTACCCCGCTCCTGGCCTTACACAAGACCTGACCACAAAACCAGTAAACCTCATACAAGCATACAGCCCTATCATTAGGTATGTTAGACACACACACACACACCACACCACACCCATCCATCCACACCACATCCCACCCATCCATCCACACCACATCCCATCCATCCATCCATCCATCCCTAGTGAGGGATATGAGCGACAGAACAGTCAGGATCAAAACAGGGCAAGCTGTAACAGTGTAACCACACACTGACTCACACATCATATATCTGTCTATCACACACCCACACCTGTCCATCAGCACGGGAGTATATAGGACTGCTATGACTGATACTGTATATACACTACAGGAGCTCTGTGGTCTGCTCCATGTAAACACTCTGGCTCAACAACAATGGGGCAACCACAGGGTCTGCGTGTGTTCCCGTCTCTTGATCCTGACAATGATATGTGAGTCAGAATTGGTCTTTGTCTCATTAGTGAAATAGCTCTTTGGGCTATGTTCTAAGTTTCACTATCATAGTAACATCTAACTGCTACATAGCACGTGTATGAGTCAGTAATGACCAGTCACCTCAGGTTCCTGTTGGACCTCTATCCGCAGATACACTTCCTTCACACACACACACGCACACGCACACCCTGCTTGATCGCTATCTGAAAAGACACTTCCTTCACAGGAAGCTAAGCCACATTAACTCCAGTGTCCTTCCTCACTTCCTTATGTAATCAACTGTAACACAAACAACAGAGTCCTGCTCACACTGACGCATACAGATGTTGACCCAGATATTCAATATGAGGGACCCTCGCTGTAACATGCACAGCTGCAGTCCTTATGCCATTTTGAAACACACACATACGCATGTAACAGTATTGCTTCCATCCCTCTCCTTGCCCCAACCTGGGCTCGAACCAGGGACCCTTTGAACACATTGACAACAGTCACCCACAAAGCATTGTTACCTATCGCTCCATAAAAGCCGTGGCCGAATCAACTAGTCTCAGAGCAATTGACGTCACAGATTGAATACTACTAGCGTGCACCGCTAACTAGCTAGCCATTTCACATTGGCTACACACACACCCTCACCTTGTTCGCAGGTCTTTCCCCCGTAGCCCAGAGGACAGTCACAGCTGTAGGTGTTCCACTTGTTGACACACACTCCTCCGTTCTGACACAAATCCTTAGTACAGAAGTTCCTCTTGGCGGGACAACCTACATGGGTCATAATAGATGTCAATCAGTAGCAGTAAACAAACAACACAGCTAACCTGAGTAAAAATTAAAATAATATATGCATCTATGAATTAATTAATAGATGGATGAATGAATGAATTAATGAATGGTCTGGATGGATAGATGGACAGACGGACGGACAAACAAACTACGAACAACGACCGAACAAACAAAGGTTGTTACCTGCAGTGGTTCCGTTGTTAGCGATGAAGCTGGCCATGTCCGTGGGTTTGCTGTCGATGCTCAGGTTCCTCATGCAGCCCACAAAGTCTCTGTTCCTCACAGGGAAGTCCTCGGGCAGGTTGGGAACACCACCTAGCAGCAGCGGTCCTGTCAGGTCCAATGATCTGCAGGGGAGAGTAAAGGAAACTGGGTCAGAATGGAGCCAAAATGGCACTTGAAGCTCAGAGAGTTCCTCTAATGGTTCTGGATCCAAAATGGCACCCCAGTCCCCATAGGATTAGGAGCTAAAGATGCACCAACAAAAGTGAACAAAGTGCCAACTGATGGGTAATGGACTGAAGTGAAAATGAAAGCCACAAACTTTATTGAACTCCCTTTCTAAAAAATGAATGCAATGACAGGACCAACGTTTCACTGCACAGTGCCTGTGACAGACTCCAAAGTGTTCCTCCAAGGTTCTTAAGGGTTCTAAAGGGGACTACAGGGTACTCCAGGCTACTGGTGGTGTGAGTAGCATGGTTTCCCTTCAAAAGGTTATTTGTCACATCTCTTGTTGACTGAAAGGACAAAGCCACTGTTACACAGCTAGCTAGCTTGATTCATTCCTCATCCTCTAACACTACAGCAGCCCAGAAGACTTAGCAGGCAGCAAACAGCAGGCTAAAGAAGCCGCTTAGCTTACACACAAGCCTCTATACTTCTAAACATCAAACGGCCAGGGTTTAATGTGACTTATTGTGACGCAATACCAACGCATAATGTAAAACATATGATCAATTTGAATAAGTCCAACGTCATATGGTCTAAAAATGGCACATGAACTTGAACTTGTGTGGTGTCCCACAAAGTATGTGTCGAACGGGTGTCACACAATGTACGCTATTTTGGGCCGGTCCTTTATAACGATTGTTGCCTCTCACTTCAGGAAAAGCAGCTAGGGTGAGGTCTGACCGACAGACAGGTAAACAGATAGAAGTGTGTGCGTCGTAACTTTCACTCCTTTTCGTAAAAGACCTAACCTAAAAGCCCGAGTGTCGACCTCAGAGTCAAACGGAGCCACATAATTTACTGTAGAACAGCTCTGAGCCTATCATAGTGGAGCGACTGGTTCTAAAAGAATGCAGCCTCATTACCCCGTTCCTTTGATGGGTTTTTCTTCTTTTCCTAAATGTGTTCTAGCTTGCTGCCTTGCCTAACGTCCCTAATTTGAAAAGGCTCTTGGTTTCAGATACAGAAACAATTAGTTGCAGTAGTAAACGTCTGGGAGATAGGATTGTAAAGGTTAAGCCATGTTAGGCTGTGTAAGAGGCTATGTCTGAGAGATTTGTCTGACAATTGAGAGCATGTCAATCCTGAGAGATTAAGAGAGAGAAAGGCAAGGTAATCTGGTGTAATGAAGGTGATTGAACATCAGTCCTGCAGTTACAACACTGACTCCTATTAGTCTAACACGTATTAGTCTCACTAAAGGTAGTGGAAAGAACTTGAAGACAGAGGGGGAGAGGGAGACAGAGAAAGAGAGAAGAGAGTGAACGAAAAACAGAGAGAGAGAAACAGAGAGACACACTCACTTTTTCTGTCCGGTCTGGGTGCCCTGGGCAGCACAGGAGTAATTGCCGATCTGGTTGCCAAAGCGAACTGCCATGGCGATGTCACAGTCGTCCACAGCAACCACAGCCACCTTCTCAGCCGAGGGTCCATGGGGGATCCCCAGACGACCAATGTTGGGCTGGAACACAGAGGTCATAGGTCACATGATTACAGGAAGTAAAAATTAACATACATCAATAATGGAGGAATGAAGAAGTTGCCCTTCTTTGGACTTTACTGTTTGGAAACACTTTGCATTCTAATGATGGCATGAAACTTAAAGTTGCATTTCCATCTCTATGAACATGATATAAAACAGTTATTCACACCATAAACAGTAAAAGCTATTAGGTTAATTAGGTCATAACGGACACTGATTAGAGCAATTATCCTGATCAAGGGCTCTGGCCTATGAATGTTGATCTGAGAGAAATTAAGATCAGTTTAGAAAATCTGATTAAACTCCTTGGATTTAATCGCAGTGTCAAAGCACAGGCTGAACAATTATTTGCTGAAATATTTCCTCTTACAATAGCCAAGCAGTGGGCTTGTGTGGAAAGGCCAGTATTTTCTCAGTGTATTTACTCCACAGCCTGGCCTGGCCTGAGACCACAGATTAGTTGATTACCTATCTCTCTCTCCCTGGAGAACAGTAAAGAGGTAAATTAGTCTACCCGTACAATAACTGCAGTACAGATCACAACTCAGATTAACAGTAAAGAACCTGCCCCTACAATAACTAACTACAGATCACAATGCAGATGACAGAGTTTACAGAAGATAGGAAGGGTTTTGAGAGGCTTGAAGAGAGGGAGAGAATGTTGGCACATTATGTTTATTGCACAAAGTTTATCACTGACAAATACGATTAAAGTAATAGGACACTGTATGGTAGGGCAGACAGACTGCTGGAGGAAAGAAATACAGAAATAGAGAGGGAGACTATAGTTAAAAATTGAAAGAAGTGGAAAGAGAAAAACAAGAGAAAGTGTGAGCGAGACAGAGAAACAGAGAGCGAGCTCCATTTTGGGTCAGAGCAGTCCCAGGGTGGCACAGTTGCCAGGACACAATAACCTTTATCAGCACTATCACTACCACTCCTTTAGCCCAGCCCCTTTCCACCGCTCTCCACGCCTCTCCACCTTCAAAACACTTTCACATTTTCCACATAAAGACCTATCTAAACAACAGTGCGCTTCTGACCTCGTTACACTCTCTCCCTACGTATTTTTGCAGCAGGAGCGCGAGCGGGAGAAGAAAGGGGGAGCGGCAGAGAGAGGCCGCCGCGAGCGAGAGCGAGCGGGACGGAGACGAGCGCGCGCGAGAGCTGAGAGGCAGAGCGCGAGCGAGAGAGCGAGAGAGCGAGCGCTCAGCGCGCTCTTCTCTCTCGCGCTCTCTCTCGCTCTCTCTCTCTCCTCTCTCTCTCTCACACACACACACACACACACACACAACACACACACACACACACACACAACACACAACACACACCACAACACACACACACACACACACAAACAGGGTTTAACAGGGACGGTATGTGTCTAGCAGTGAGGGTATTTGATCCCTTTCCTGTGGAAGCGTGACAATGGGGAGGATGGGCTGTTGAAAGGCAGGCAGGTGTGGTCCAGCAGCAGGAGCAGGCCATCGTGGGATAGCTCTCAGACAACACACCACCAACTGTGTCTGACTGTCTACAAATTCATGAAGAGCAGCTTTTTCAAATACAAAAGCTTAATAAAATGTAATCCACACAGGCCTGATCTGAGGACTTAAGTAATTTTAGGTTACTGTTTTTTGCAGTGTAACCTCAATTGAAACTACTAGATATTCTCTGGCTCATAGAGGGAGAGATAGAGAGAGAGGGAGAGAGAAAGGGAACAGAGACAGAGAATGAATGTAAATTGTAAAGTCTTCTGTCTGTAATGACTTTTTCTTTATGTGTTGGACCACAGTAAGACTAGCTGTCGCCATTGGCGTTGGCTAATGAGGATCCTAATAAAAATTTATAAACGAGTGAGAGTAAAGAGAGTGATAGACAGAGAGAGAGAGAGAGAGAGAGAGAGAGAGAGAGAGAGAGAGAGAGAGAGAGAGAGGAGAGAGAGTGAGAGAGAGAGAGAAAATGATAGAGAGAGGTAGGAAGTATAGAGCACGAAAGCTTTGAACTTTTAAGTAGAGATAGAGAGCTCAGCAGGTTTCTTGAGGTTGCGCCAACTTCTCTTGGTACCACGTAGAGCTCAGTACCACACAATGCCCTGCTCTGCATACACACTGGGTCAACCTGTAGAGAGTCATAACTCTGGCTGGCCAGGCCTGATTTAAGAGCTGCACTGGGAGCTGGCTGGCTACGCTCTGAAGGCACCACTAGAACTCTCTATTCGTTTGATTTACTATAAGAGCTGGAATAGAGAGCTAAGCACCATGGCTCTCTATCTATTCTCTTTATCAGAGAGCAGCGAGAGGGAAAGTAGTAGCAAGTACACCGTTATATATACACACACACACGTGCACGCACACACTTACTGCCAAACACAGAAAATAATTACTTCCTTGCATTGCCACATAACCATGAGAAAAGATCGATATTCGATAAGAAACAGTTGCCTGGAAAAATAACACAAGGTCAGAGTTACATGCCTGTCATTCGTCCATGTTTCAACATCAAGGAAGGTCTGTGCCAAATTAATGAATGTAAGTGAATGAGAGAAAGTGTGAATGGCAGGCAGTTCTCATAATGAACATAACCCTCTTAGCTGTGGAGGTGAAGTGTCTGCTGAATGACCATAGAAGTCTAGTGGATGTTGTAGTAGATGTTGTGGCCAGCTCCCCATTGACAGGCCAGGCCAGCAGATCAATGGCTCTCATTGGTATACAGTACTGGCCTCCTAAGCAGATACTCTCACACTCTGGTTATGTCCCTAATGGCACCCTATTTAACACACTACTCTGGCTCTGGCCAAAAGTAGTGCAGTGTACTACATAGGGAATAGTGCGCCATTTGGGATGCAGCCTCTCACTGTCACACGCACTCACTCTCCTGCTTAGCAGAAGACCTTCTCACACTCTCCTGCTTAGCAGAAGACCTTCACTCACTCTCCTGCTTAGCAGAAGACCTTCTCACACTCTCCTGCTTAGCAGAAGACCTTCTCACACTCTCCTGCTTAGCAGAAGACCTTCACTCACTCTCCTGCTTAGCAGAAGACCTTCTCACACTCTCCTGCTTAGCAGAAGACCTTCTCACACTCTCCTGCTTAGCAGAAGACCTTCTCACACTCTCCTGCTTAGCAGAAGACCTTCTCTCACTCTCCTGCTTAGCAGAAGACCTTCTCACACTCTCCTGCTTAGCAGAAGACCTTCTCACACTCTCCTGCTTAGCAGAAGACCTTCACTCACTCTCCTGCTTAGCAGAAGACCTTCACTCACTCTCCTGCTTAGCAGAAGACCTTCACTCACTCTCCTGCTTAGCAGAAGACCTTCTCACACTCTCCTTGTCAGCCTAGTGACACTGTATGATTCATGAGATGAGGGGTGAAGCCACTCCATTGGCACGCAGAGCGGCACATCAATATAGACGCACACACACACTCTCACTCACTGAAACTATACTTGGCTTGGTACACCAGGTCTCTCTTTATGCATTGGCAGCAACACACACTCAGCGGCAGAGGATTCGAAAAGAGTTAAGTGTGTGTATGTGTGTGTGTTTGTGCCCAGGGGGACAGGGAGGGCTGTGTTTGGGCAGGTACAATATAATATCCTCTTTACAGTTACCTTTAGAACAGAAACACAAATACATAATTGAGCTCAGGTGCATCCTGTTTCCATTGATCATCCTTGAGATGTTTCTACAACTTGACTGGAGTCCACCTATGGTAAATTCAATTGATTGGACATGATTTGGAAAGGCACACACTTGTCTATATACAGTGCATTCGGAAAGTATTCAGACCCCTTGACTTTTTCCACATTTTGTTACTTTACAGCCTTATTCTAAAATTGATTAAATCATTTGTTTACCTCATAAATCTACACACAATAACCCCTAATGACAAAGTGAAAAGAGGTTTTTAGAAAATTTTGATTTTTTTTTAATATACCTTATTTACATAAGTATTCAGACCCTTTGCTATAAGACTCGAAATTGAGCTCAGGTGCATCCTGTTTGCATTGATCATCCTTGAGATGTTTCTACAACTTGACTGGAGTCCACCTGTGGTAAGTTCAATTGATTGGACATGATTTGGAAAGGCACACACCTGTCAAAATGTCTGCAGCATTGAAGGTCCCCAAGAACACAGTCGCCTCCATCATTTTTAAATGGAAGAAGTTTGGAACCACCAAGACTCTTCCTAGAGCTGGCCGCCCGGCCAAACTGAGCAATCGTGGGAGAAGAGCCTTGGTCTGGGAGGTGACCTAGAACCCGATGGTCACTCTGACAGAGCTCCAGAGTTCCTCTGTGGAGATGGGAGAACCTCCCAGAAGGACAACCATCTCCGCAGCACTCCACCAATCAGGCCTTTATGGTAGAGTGGCCAGATGGAAGCCACTCCTCAGTAAAAGGCACATGACAGCCCACTTGGAGTTTGCCAAATGGCACCTAAAGGACTCTCGGACCATGAGAAACAATTGAACATCTCTGGAGAGACCTGAAAATAGCTGTGCAGCGACGCTCCCCATCCAAGCTAACAGAGCTTGAGAGGATCTGAAGAGAAGAATGGGAGAAACTCCCCAAATACAGGTGTGCCAAGCTTGTAGCGTCATACCCAAGAAGACTCGAGGCTGTAATCACTGCCAAAGGGTCTTCAACAAAGTACTGAGTAAAGGGTCTGAATGCAATGTAAATGTGATATTTCCATTTATTTAATTGTATAGATTTTTTTGGGTGGGGCACTTAACCCTAATTGCTCCTGTAAGTCGCTCTGGATAAGAGCGTCTGCTAAATGACTAAAATGTAATGTAAATGTAAGTGTAGACCTTACCGTGAAATGCTTAATTACAAGCCCTTAACCAACAATGCAGTTTTAAGAAAGAATACCTAAAAAAAGAGAAGAAATAAAAGTAACAAATAATTAAAGAGCAGCAGTAAAATAACAATAGCAAGGCTATATACATGGGGTACCGGTACCGAGTCAATGTGCGGGGGCACCGGTTAGTTGAGGTAATTGAGGTAATATGTACATGTAGGTAGAGTTTTTAAAGTGGCTATGCATAGATAATAAACGGAGAGTAGCAGCAGCGTAAAAGAGGGGTGGAGGGGGCAATGCAAATAGTCTGGGTAGCCATTTGATTAGATGTTCAGGAGTCTTATGGCTTGGGGGTAGAAGCTGTTTAGAAGCCTCTTGGACCTAGACTTGGCGCTACGGTACCGCTTGCCGTGCGGTAGCAGAGTGAACAGTCTATGACTAGGGTGGCTGGAGTCTTTGACCATTTTTAGTGCCTTCCTCTGACACTGCCTGGTATAGAGGTCCTGGATGGCAGGAAGGTTGGCCCCAGTGATGTACTGGGCCATACGCACTACCCTCTGTAGTGCCTTGCGGTCGGAGGCCGAGCAGTTGCCATACCTGGCAGTGATGCAACCAGTCAGGATGCTCTCGATGGTGCAGCTGTAGAACCTTTTGAGGATCTGAGGACCATGCCAAATCTTTTCAGTCTCCTTAGGGGAAATAGGTTTTGTCGTGTCCTCTTCACGACTCTCTTGGTGTGCTTGGACCATGTTAGTTTGTTGGTGATGTGGACACCAAGGAACTTGAAGCTCTCAACCTGCTCCACTACAGCCCCGTCGATGAGAATGGGGGCGTGCTCGGTCCTCTTCTTTTTCCTGTAGTCCACAATCATCTAATTTGTCTTGATCACGTTGATCAGGGCCTAACATAAAGACAACTCAGAGTATGCTATTCTGTTCTTCTGAAATAGACTACATTTTCTTTATATCATGTTTTTTTAGACCTGTCTAAAATAAATAATTGATTTATTGTGATGGTGTAGGCTATATTAAATGGATTTATTAGATTTGTTAAAATGTAGATGTTGCAAAGGTCTGCATCAGTGGCTTGTAGGCTATGCATGGAAACCAAGAGTAGCTAAATGTGTTTATGTTAATTAACGGTCAATTACTGTGAGACCAGCAGTTATTTGCTTGACCAATCACCGGCTGACAAAATTTCATGGCCACCACACCCCTACCAAGGACATTATATAATTAAGCAATAAGACCAGAGGAGGTGTGGTATATGGCCAATATACCACAGCTAAGGGCTGTTCTTAAGCTCGACGCAACGCGGAGTGCCTGGATACAGCCATTAGCCGTGGTATATTAGACATATACTGTACTACAAACCCCCAAGGTGCCTTATTGCTATTATAAACTGGTTACCAACATAATTAGAACAGTAAAAATTAATGTTTTGTCATACCAGTGATATACCACAGCTTTCAGCCAATCAGCATCCAGGACCCAAACTACCCGGTTTATAATATACAGTCAATGTATGGTGAAATCAGAGGTGATACATGTATTGCAGCAGGTGATATACATTATGCAGGTATGCAATTGATAATGAGAACACACCTCCGTCTCTGGCACAGTGCCATTCTCCCCCGGGACCTGGCAGGTGCCTACCTGTACCTGGGTGCCCCTGGGGTCCCATGGTAACCACAGACATCCCTCTTTCCTGTCTAGTACCCTTAAAGGGGCAATCTGCTGTTCAAACAATAACAAAGCTGCCACCCCGTCACTGATTTGGTAAATAGCTGAGGGTTGGGGCTGGAGAAATGTAACCAATCTCAAATGCAGATTGCCCCTTTAAATGCCTATGACGGTTCTTCACCTCTGAACCACTTTTTTTGTTGAGTTGAGTGGTGGTGACAGCAGGCTACTGTATTACCACACCAGAGTTTCTTCAACAGAAGCTAGTAGTTAGTAAAACCACACAGAGTGGAGGATATGTAGTCAGTGTGACCTTTGTGTTCCCCTATGTCCTCAGCCATGCAGGGCTGGTAATGCAGGTGTTTTACCACTAGAGTGTGTAATTACATGGTATGTTCTAGCGAGAGAGTGGGAAAAGAGAGAGAGAGAAAGAGAGCGAGACCGAGAGAGAGAAAAGGAGATAGAGAAAAAAGAGAGAAAGAGAGAGATAGACCAAGAGAGGAGAGACAGAAAGAAGGACAGGAACAGATGCAGGTCCAGATGTGGTATATGGGGGTCCCACACCGAACGGTGGAGGGTCTGCAGCAGCTGTGCTCGAAACTCACTTCACACGCATACACACTGAAATCCCACTCCATACTCGAAGGTCCAGGATAGGGGTCCGATATGTGTCTGACGTATTGACGTATGAGCTGGGGATACATGACCATGTAAACAGCTATTGGCTGGTCACAAGTGTCTCCCACATATACGCACACACACACACACACACACACACAAATACTGTATATATATACACACACACACACATACTATATATACACACACACACTTCCCCAATACAGTTCCAAGACATACATTCAGTAGACATTTGACTAAGTTCTGTGTGAATAATAAAAATAAAAAGATTAATTTAACCTTTAGTTAACCAGGTAAGCCAGTTGAGAACAAGTTCTCATTTACAACTGCGACCTGGCCAAGATAAAGCAAAGCAGTGCAATAAAAACAACAACAACACAGAGTTAAATATGGAATAAACAAAACGTACAGTCAATAACACAATAGAAAATCTATATACAGTGTGTGCAAATGTAGTAAGTTATGGAGGTAAGGCAATAAATAGGCCATAGTGCAAAATAATTAAGATTTCGTATTAACACTGGAGTGATAGATGTGCAGAAAATAATGTTGCCCTTTGTATGGAATGGGGCTTTCAGTGACACTGACTGTTATTCAGCATACCGACAGTTAGAGCTGTATGTATGGGAGAAATGTATCGAGTTACACCAGAGTTTTCAACAGAGAATATAGGCCAAGGCCCTATACAGTTTCAGTTTCAACAGAGTTTCTGATCCCCTGACTAAAAGTGGACTTGGCTCACAGACAGGGCCCCTGGGAGTCTCCAGTTTACCCCCTTTCCCTCTCTCTTTCTCCCCCTCTTTCTTTCTCTCTCTCTGGGATGTTGACAATTCTGCCATTCACCTCCTAGCTCGTCTCTGGGGATGATAGCCTAGCTGGTGCCATAGCAACACACTTGATCCATACAAAGAGAAGGTCAGAGAACACAAGCAACAAGTAACACACACAGACAGACAGACGTACGCACAAACGCACATACACATGCGTACACACACACACTCTCTCTCTTCTCACCGCCTCTTTGAGTGTGTAAACTAACTAACTCTCTCGCTCTGTGTACTTGTTTTCAGCTCTAACACAAGTCAGTACAGGCAAACACTCCATATTATGGCCTTTAGATTTTTTTAAAACATTTTAGTCAATTAGCAGACAATCTTATCCAGAGCGACTTACAGTTAGTGCATTGACCTTAAGATAGCTAGGTGGGACAATCACATGTCAGTCATAGTCGTCGGGTGAGGTTGTGTCTCTCTCTGGCTTGAGGTAAGCTTGGCTTATATGGCTTATATACATAGTTTGGGCTTTGTCGAGTAAAGCTTAAACTATGTATTTAGATTGTAGTTAGGTATTGTAGGTAGTTATCGTGGGTTGTTGTATGTAATTATTGTAGGTTAGTATTGTATTCGGCTGAGCCCGGTGCAGCACGAAGCTAGCTAACCCACTACCTGGACTAGCTAGCGGGTAGCTACTGGTAACTATTTGCAACTGTGGATAGTTGTTTCACGCCTGAGAGTACCTGTAATTACGCCAGCTAGCTGCCTACAATAATTACATACAATATTGCCTACCATACAGCTGTTTTTCTAACCTCATTGTCTGAAGCGTTAACGTTAGGTAGTAAGTGGCTACTGTGCTTGAAATTTAGCTAGCTTGTTGCTACCTGGATAGCTACTAAACAATGGCTGGAACGACCTAGCGAACAGACGCGAACTGGCTGAGTCAATTCAGTGGCTAGCTTTGCACTTGGCTAGCTAACAGTAGCTGCTAGGGGTAAGTTATAACCTACATTTGTGTTTTGTTTTTACATATTGGTAGCCAGAGTCGTTCAAGGGAATTCGGGACATGGGTGACTAGTTAACGTTAGCTTGGCTCTCTCTGTGTGTTCGTGCCGTGGGAGGAGGGGTTTCTTCTTTGTCTGAACGCAATGGCTAGCTAGTATGCTAACTATTCTAGCTAACTAACTGGCTGAATAAGTTGACGACGGACTCGCTCAAGCTGTCGGGACTAACCCACAACGTTAGACACGGACACGAATGATCTGCTTGGCGTGTTGACACACTGGTGGTTTGTTGTGGCCGAGTATTGGTGCTAAACCGTGTTGTTGGCGTCCGGCATGCTAGTTGGCTGTGGCGTCATATGACTAGGTGCCCTGGACGATTTTCACGGAAGAATACTGTACCAAGTTAGCCAGCTGAATAAACTAAGTTAGTCTATTCCTAGAAAACATTGAACCGCTGTAGTTTACAACAATTATAGTTTCTGAGGTGGAAGTTGGGAGAGTTATATTTGGGTGTTTCAGTGAAACGTAAGTGAGGGAGGCCCCGCTCTCTCCTTTCCCAGATGTTTAGTTCATTTCATTCCGATCTCCTTTGCATTATTGTAGCCATTTTCTGTAGCCTGTCAACTATGCCTCTGTCTATCCCTGTTCTCTCCTCTCCGCACAGGCTATACAAATGCCTCACACCGCGTGGCTGCTGCCTCTCTAACCTGGTGGTCCCTGCACGCACCACCAACGTGGAGTTCCAGGTCTCAGGCAGCCTCTGGAACTGCCGTTCTGCTGCCAACAAGGCAGAGTTAATCTCAGCCTATGCTACCTTCCAGTCCCTCGACTTCTTGGCGCGGACGGAAACATGGATTACCACTGAAAACACTGCTACTCCTACTGCTCTCTCCTCGTCTGACCATGTGTTCTCGCATACCCCGAGAGCATCTGGTCAGCGGGGTGGTGGCACAGGAATCCTCATCTCTCCCAAGTGGACATTCTCTCTTTTTCCCCTGACCCATCTGTCTATCTCCTCATTTGAATTCCATGCTGTCACAGTCACTAGCCCATTCAAGCTTAACATCCTTGTCATTTATCGCCCTCCAGGTTCCCTTGGAGAGTTCATCAATGAGCTTGACGCCTTGATAAGTTCATTTCCTGAGGATGGCTCACCCCTCACAGTTCCGGGTGACTTCAACCTCCCTACGTCTACCTTTGACTCATTTCTCTCTGCCTCCTTCTTTCCACTCCTCTCCTCTTTTGACCTCACCCTCTCACCGTCCCCCCCTACTCACAAGGCAGGCAATACGCTTGACCTCATCTTTACTAGATGCTGGTCTTCTACTAATCTCACTGCAACTCCCCTCCATGTCTCCGACCACTACTTCGTATCCTTTTCTCTCTCGCTCTCCTCCAACACTACTCACTCTGCCCCTACTCAGATGGTAATGCGCCGTCGCAACCTTCGCTCTCTCTCTCCCGCTACTCTCTCCTCTTCCATCCTATCATCTCTTCTCTCTGCTCAAACCTTCTCCCTCCAATCTCCTTATTCTGCCTCCTCAACCCTCCTCTCCTCCCTTTCTGCATCCTTTGACTCTCTATGTCCCCTATCCTCCCGGCCGGCTCGGTCCTCGGTCCTCCCCTCGGTCCAAGCCCTCGGTCCTCCGTGGCTTGATGACTCATTGTGAGCTCACAGAACAGGGCTCCGGGCAGCTGAGCGGAAATGGAGGAAAACTAGACTCCCTGCGGACCTGGCATCTTTTCACTCCCTCCTCTCTACATTTTCTTCATCTGTTTCTACTGCTAAAGCCACTTTCTACCACTCTAAATTCCAAGCATCTGCCTCTAACCCTAGGAAGCTCCCCCCCCCCCCCTCCCTCTCTGTGGATGACTTCGTCAACCATTTTGAAAAGAAGGTTAACGACATCCGATCCTCGTTTGTTAAGTCAAATGACACTGCTGGTCCTGCTCACACTGCCCTACCATATGCTTTGACTTCTTTCTCCCCTCTCTTCTCCAGATAATCTCCGGTGACCTTCTCACTTACCTCACCTCGCTCATCAAATCATCCTTGACCGCTGGCTATGTCCCTTCCATCTTCAAGAGAGCGAGAGTTGCACCCCTTCACAAAAAACCAACACTCGATCCCTCTGATGTCAACAACTACAGATCAGTATCCCTTCTTTCTTTTCTCTCCAAAACTCTTGAGCGTGCCGTCTTTAGCCAACTCTCTTGCTATCTCTCTCAGAATGACCTTCTTGATCCAAACCAGTCAGGTTTCAAGACTGGTCATTCAACTGAGACTGCTCTTCTCTGTGTCACGGAGGCTCTCCGCACTGCTAAAACTAACTCTCTCTCCTCTGCTCTTGTCCTTCTAGACCTTTCTGCTGCCTTTGATACTGTGAAACATCAGATCCTCCTCTCCACCCTCTCCGAGCTGGGGATCTCCGGCGCGGCTCACTCTTGGATTGCGTCCTACCAGTGGCGTGGCGAGAATCTGTCTCCGCACCACGTGCTCTCACCACTGGTGTCCCCCAGGGCTCAGTTCTAGGCCCTCTCCTATTCTCACTATACTTCAAGTCACTTGGCTCTGTCATATCCTCACATGGCCTCTCCTATCATTGCTACGCAGACGACACACAACTAATCTTCTCCTTTCCCCCTTCTGATAACCAGGTGGCGAATCGCATCTCTGCATGTCTGGCAGACATATCAGTGTGGATGACGGATCACCACCTCAAGCTGAACCTCGGCAAGACGGAGCTGCTCTTCCTCCCGGGGAAGGACTGCCCGTTCCATGATCTCGCCATCACGGTTGACAACTCTGTTGTGTCCTCCTCCCAGAGTGCGAAGAGCCTTGGCGTGACCTTGGACAACACCCTGTCGTTCTCCGCTAACATCAAGGCGGTGACCCGATCCTGTAGGTTCATGCTCTACAACATTCGGAGAGTACGACCCTGCCTTACACAGGAAGCGGCACAGGTCCTAATCCAGGCACTTGTCATCTCCCGTCTGGATTACTGCAACTTGCTGTTGACTGGGCTCCCTGCCTGTGCCATTAAACCCCTACAACTCATCCAGAATGCCGCAGCCCATCTGGTGTTCAACCTTCCCAAGTTCTCTCACGTCACCCCACTCCTCCGCACACTCCACTGGCTTCCAGTTGAAGCTCGCATCTGCTACAAGACCATGGTGCTTGCCTACGGAGCTGTGAGGGGAACGGCACCTCCGTACCTTCATGCTCTGATTAGTCCCTACACCCAAACGAGGGCATTGCGTTCATCCACCTCTGGCCTGCTGGCCCCCCTACCTCTGCGGAAGCACAGTTCCCACTCAGCCCAGTCAAAACTGTTCGCTGCTCTGGCACCCAAATGGTGGAACAAGCTCCCTCACGACGCCAGGACAGCAGAGTCACTCACCACCTTCCGGAGACATTTGAAACCCCACCTCTTTAAGGAATACCTGGGATAGGATAAAGTAATCCTTCTACCCCCCCTCTGACACCTATAGAGCCTTAGAGAGCTGACAACACAGGAAACACTGCAGTAACTACCCCAAAACAGCCCTAGGCCTGAACACTGACTAACTAACATAATATTTTCATCCTTAGACCTATTACCCTGGTCTACCACATGACACCTTTACTAGCCGGGAGGGAGGCTAAGGTCAGTGATGGATGCATCAGATTACAAACAAAAGAGGAAAAACAACTCTGAAAAGAAAATCCAGCCATTTTATGAGGACTTGTAATACTGCTAATGTCATGACTGGAATCTTTCCAGGAGTATATCTTGACTCACAAGGCAGTGTTAGGGCCGTGGAGTGGGAGGTGTGTGTGCAACTGTTAGCCAAGACTCGGGGGTGTGTGTGTGTTGTCGAGAGTGTGTGTGTGTGCATCAGTCTTCCTCCGGTGTGTCACAACACTCCCGCACAAAGACAATGGGGAATGGGGAAACCCTGGACTTCAGATTGGACAGGAACCTCTTCAACATTAGGAGGCTCCAAGCTGCCACAAAGCTAAAATCTGAACACGTACTTGAGCTCCAGTACGCCGATGATCGCGTTCTTGTGGCACATACCCCAGAAGCTTTACAAGCCACCCTCACAGCAGCTGTGAGAGCATACAGCAGAATGGGGCTGTCTGTTAACATCCCAAAAACAGAGGTCCTATGTCAGTGGTCATCTGATCCTCTACCTGAAACACCCGCATTCTCCATCTCAGACTCTTCACTTGCCATTGTATACACTTTAAATATCCTGGAAGCATCCTCTCAGAAGACTGGACCAGGATATCCAGAATATTGTCAAACAGGCCTCATCCTCCTATGTACGGCTAAGGAAAAGGGTTTTTAACAACCTACACACCAAAGTTGCAGTCTACCAGGCAGTGTGTGTATCTACACTCCTTTATGGATGTGAAACATTGACAGTCTACAGCCGACACTTAAAACAACTGGAGTCCTTTCACATAAAATGCCTCCAATGCATTTTGAAAGTGACCTGGCAGGACCGTGTTCCACACTCAGAGATCCTACAGAGAACCAACTACAGGAGCATTGAGGCGTCCATCACACACCACAAGCTTAGATGGCTCGGCCATGCCATCCGGATGCCAGAGGATCGACAGAGAAGACATATGCCTGCACCAGCATCAACAGGACAGGCCTTTGTGTGCTCTGTCTGTGGCAGACAGTGTGCATCCCACATCTGATTATACAGTCATCAGCAAACCCACAAGCAGTAGTGGAAGTCATCATCGGATACGATGGACTACCTCAAGTAAGTAAGTGGGTGTGTGTGTCAGGCCCACACTGCAGGACGTTGCTAGCGGAGGCGAGGAAAGGGTGAGCGGGGGTATTTTCATAATAAAGGAAGTTGGGAGCAAAGGATCTGATTTTACTTGGGTTTCACTGAGGAAATGCAATCGCCTCTCTCTCGCCCTCTCTTTCTCTCCCTTTGTCTGACTCTCTCTCTCATACCAACTTCCAGAAAAAAAAAAAAAGCTAGATCTCCTGCCATCCTTTGCTTTGTGTGCTCCTACGAAGGGAGGGGAAAGGCAAATGTGTGTGTGTGTGTGCATGCCTTGTGTGTGTATGAATGTGTGTGTTTGGTCTGGTGTGTATCTGTGCCTGTCGTGTGCGGGGTAGGGTGTCGGTGTAGCTGTGACGTCCCCATGTGTTCTCAGACCATTACCTCACCTGCCCTCTGGCACTGTAAACCTAGAGCTGTCAATAATTCATACACCCCCCCCCCCCCAAACACACACACTACAGCTGGGACGATAAACCTAAAATTATCGACACCGACCATGCCGATCACTTATCGCAGGCATTTTGCTGATATTGTTCATTACGATAAGTAGCCTATGCTAGAAAAATGTGAAGTTTTAAGTTAAATAAGTTTGCCAATATGGGTGATTATTAATGGGAAAACTAGTAGTTGTAATTTAAAGGATACTAAAATAAACTGTGGTGCACAACGTTATAAACGTATCTTTCTATTGATCGTTATCGCGTCAATTCAGGCAATTTTTACACACACACACAGCCTGATGATATACAGTGGATGACAATGTTGCGCTCTCTCCCACAGGACATGAGGCGGACGTTCAACCCTATATGTTACCCTGATGCCTTCTCTAGAAAACACACATATATAAGTGTTCTGCTCTTTCTCAGGGCGATGGCAGATGGACAGCAGTATTGTCCTCTGAATACCTTGAGCCGAACAAATGACATACTGAGGAATAGGAAACCTTCAAATATGGAGTCTCTCTCTATCATATGAATCCCGTGAGCCGTTATCGAAATCTGGAGCTAGTTGGAATATCTGTGAGATTCCTATCTTCCTACAAACTCCCCACTGTAGGTGTGAAAGGTTACTGTAATACATGTTTTATACAAGCCTAGGAGTACTGAAAGCATCAAACACCCATAAGAATGTCTGGCAGTGAATGCTGTTACACATTAACACGGCTTATGTGTAAGAGAAATGGACAGAGCAAGTAAGGGAGGAAAGGGAGAGAGAGCGAGAGAGAGAGAGAGAGAGAGAGAGAGAGAGAGAGAGAGAGAGAGAGAGAGAGAGATAGAGAGAGAGAGGGGGAGCAAAAGACAGAGACAGGTGCCAGTTGTTTACAGCACTAATAATAAATCCCTTCGTATCACCCTCACCCTCCCTCCCTAGTTCTCTTTCTCCTGACCACGCTCTCCCTCCTCTCTCTCTAACATTGAGTCATGCTACATGAGCTGTGTGGAATCTCTGGCTCCCTCAGTGGCAAACAGCAATTGGTCTGGAATAGGACACAGGTTATACAACAGGGGTTTTCAACTATTTCTTGCCCAGGGACCGCCACTCAGGCAAACCGGCGACCAAGGGACCCCAATCATATGTTATCAAACAAAAATATTTTCACGCCTTGTCTTATCATCAGGTGAATGGTAAGGAGAAGTAATCAACATTTTAAAATCAATAGATTTGGTAGATCGTTTTTTATTATTTTGACCTTATTTTTCTATTTATTTAGCCTATTAGACAGAAAGGTAGCTCCAAACACATTTTTGCTAATAGTGTCGGTTTAGCTGGTTAAACAGAGGTTAGTCATGTTTTTGCAAAAATTAATTAAGTCAAGAAAGCTTACCATCAGCCAGCGAAACTTGTACTCACAGGTGCTTTATCAAAGCCTTTGTCAGATACTCCAGAGAGTGTAATTAGCTCCAATGAGTGTAATTTGCTCAATATTAGGAGTTGAGAAATAAAGTTGACATTAGAAATAAGATATTATCCTCTTTTCTACTGTAGGTATGTAATTAAACATTCATTTATTCTGTTGTTGCTAGCGATACTCATAAAAACATATTTTGCCCCCACTTTTTTTGTATATATACAGTATTTTCGCGGACCCCCTGAAGTACAGTGAGGGAAAAAAAGTATTTGATCCCCTGCTGATTTTGTATGTTTGCCCGCTGACAAAGATATGATCAGTCTATAATTTTAATGGTAGGTTTATTTGAACAGTGAGAGACAGAATAACAACAAAACAATCCAGAAAAACGCATGTCAAAAATGTTATAAATTGATTTGCATTTTATTGAGGGAATTAAGTATTTGACCCCTCTGCAAAACATGACTTAGTACTTGGGTGGCAAAACCCTTGTTGGCAATCAGAGGTCAGACGTTTCTTGTAGTTGGCCACCAGGTTTGCACACACCTCAGGAGGGATTTTGTTCTACTCCTCTTTGCAGATCTTCTCCAAGTCATTAAGGTTTCGAGGCTGACGTTTGGCAACTCGAATCTTCAGCTCCACAGATTTTCTATGGGATTAAGGTCCATCGTCCCTTTGATGCAGTGAAGTTGTCCTGTCCCCTTAGCAGAAAAACACCCCCAAAGCATAATGTTTCCACCTCCATGTTTGACGGTGGGGATGGTGTTTTGGGTTCATAGGCAGCATTCCTCCTCCTCCAAACACGGCGAGTTGAGTTGATGCCAAACAGCTCGATTTTGGTCTCATCTGACCACAACACTTTCACCCAGTTCTCCTCTGAATCATTCAGATGTTCATTGGCAAACTTCAGATGGCCCTGTATATGTGCTTTCTTGAGCAGGGGGACCTTGCGGGCGCTGCAGGATTTCAGTCCTTCACGGCGTAGTGTGTTACCAATTGTTTTCTTGGTGACTATGGTCCCAGCTGCCTTGAGATCATCGACAAGATCCTCCCGTGTAGTTCTGGGCTGATTCCTCACCATTCTCATGATCATTGCAACTCCACGAGGTGAGATCTTGCATGAAGCCCCAGGCCGAGGGAGATTGACAGTTCTTTTGTGTTTCTTCCATTAGCGAATAATCGCACCAACTGTTGTCACCTTCTCACCAAGCTGCTTGGCGATGGTCTTGTAGCCCATTCCAGCCTTGTGTAGGTCTACAATCTTGTCCCTGACATCCTTGGAGAGCTCTTTGGTCTTGGCCATGGTGGAGAGTTTGTAATCTGATTGATTGATTGATTGCAGAAAGATTTCTGGCTCCCAGGTGTCTTTTATACAGGTAAGAAACTGAGATTAGGGGCACTCCCTTTAAGAGTGTGCTCCTAATCTCAGCTCGTTACCTGTATAAAAGACACCTGGGAGCCAGAAATCTTTCTGATTGAGAGGGGGTCAAATACTACTTTTTTGTTGTTATTCTGTCTCTCACTGTTCAAATAAACCTACCATTAAAATTATAGACTGATCATTTCTTTGTCAGTGGGCAAACATACAAAATACCCCTAGATTAGAACACAGAGGGAGGGAGGTATAGAGAGAACAAGGGAGTGTGTGATAGACAAAGAGACAGACAGAGGGAGAGATCGAGAAAGAGAGACCGGGAGAGAGGGACAGTAAAAGAGGGATAGAGGGAGGGAGAGAGGGATGGAGAGAGGGATTGGGGGAGGGAGGAAGAGGCAGCCATGAATGCAGGTGGAGTCTGGCAGATTTATGACACACTGTCTAAACATCTGGGGTTTTCTACTACTGTAACTCACAAGTAGACACACACACTACGGCTAGGTCCTCATGCCCTGGTCTTATGCATACACAGCGCTGGAACCAATACAGCTGGAGAGGTTGGGAAGGTCTACATTTTAATCCTTCACACAATCCCTTTATTGTAGCCATCTTTATAAATAAATCCCAATGAATCACTCCTATTAACAAGTCAATTATCCCAAAGTATCCTTATTATCACTGAGAGGTAATCAAATTGAGGACATTAACCATTACAGAGAGAGTCTCATCCACACTGACAGAAAGCACCCAGCTCCTAATCCTGCCAACGTCAATATTCACTCAGTTAAGAGAGTACAGGTACAGACAGGGACAAGGAGACAGAGAAACTTCATTCATGGCAGACAGCTGTCAACAGGCTGGGCTGACACACACACACACACACACACGCACACACGCACACACGCACACACACACACACACACACATCGCCCTAGGCTCATAGTGCTGTATTGCCTGGCTACAAGAGCAGGTCTGCCAACAGATACAAGATAGAATTCCTGCCGATATTAAAGACATGATCTGCAACTTTGGCTTTGAACTTAAACTTTGAACTTTAAGTATTTTTTTAAACCAACCGCTTTGGACTGGATGTGTCAATGTGTAGTTCATACATGGATAATCAATGAGCAGAATTACTGTCTTATCTCAATTAGCCACGAAATACCTAGTTTGAGAGCGACTGTTTATCTGAAAGCTGTGCTGCGCCATTTTCCCTACATTTTCCCCCACATGGGCCAGACCTCTAGCAATTAGAGTTCTAGCCAATAAGCTTCAGCCCCTCTACATTTGAGTGACAGCTAGCAAGATGCACACATAGCAGAGCGAGAGAGCAATGACGAGGTGTACAGACAGTATCTGCACATATGTGACGTAGTACGCAATTTTCGGGGACCACATTTGGCTTGTGAGAGCTACTTTCAGAACTACTGGCTAAAAAGTACACAAAAGTACCGGAGAATCTCTTTAATCCTACTGCTCCTGCTCCTGTTCGCTCCCTTGGTCACATGACCAGCCCTATTAGAGAAAATATGTCAGCGGGGAACGAGATCCCTCTCTGTGTGTCAGGGCCATTCTGACTGGTGATTGGCTGAAATCTGACTCCTCACTTCACAATAAACCCCTCCATTTGAACCCGTCCTCTGCTGAGCGCTACAGTAGGTGCTTGTAGCTCATAGTGCTCAGCGCTCCTGCAAGATTCCCTGTAGGTGTTTGAGAGGCTGCAGCATACATAGGCAGAGATGTCGACGAACACAAACACACAGGTTTAATGGGTGAGCATTGTGTTTTCAGTGAAGGAAAATGTAGCTACAGTGAAATGAATGAGAATCAAATGGAAACCTACGGCAAGAAGCGAAGTAACTCTGTTAAAGAATGGAGTCTGTAAAGACATGCAAACTTGTGAAACACTCGACAACATGTTGGATAACACACCGTGGACTAGAACCAACCTAACCACAGAACCACCGCAAGACTAGACCACGACTAGAGCCAGACCAGAGATGAGACTAGAGCCAGACTAACCCCAAGACTAGTACTACCACCAGTACTTGCAGTACTAGAACTAACACCAGTACTAGAGCTAAGACACTAGAGGCCATGCTACTGTACCTCCTTGTGTGTCAGCTCCAGCCAGGCAGTATAAAGAGGGACCCCCAGCACCCCACTGGACCCCAGCAGGTGCAGGCTGTCCTGGGTAGACCATGGGAGAGAGAGGGATGTGTTAAATCCATTAAGATCTGCAACTAGTGTGTGTGTGCGTGTGTGTGTGTGTGTGTGTGTGTGTGTGTGTGTGTGTGTGTGTGTGTGTGTGTGTGTGTGTGTGTGTGTGTGTGTGTGTGTGTGTGTGTGGACTACAGCACCAACAGTGCATCCGCTAGTCTAGTGTAAGTGTGTGTGTGTGTCTGTAGGTGTGTGATTGTCTGTGTCTGCATGACAGGGAGTGTGTATGTGCATGGATGTTTGAGAGAAATTGTTTCTGCTCATTTAGATCTCAGTGACTGGATTATTCTGTATGTTCTCGGCTCAGCACTAAAATGGTCTAAATAAAAGTTCCTAAACAACTCCAGGTATTATATCAACTTCTATACTAATATAGTGAACCACAAATAGTATCTCCCTACAAAACCAATGGCAGATATGACTCCCATTTTAAATATACACAGTTTAACTCACTCAGAGTTTATGATCATGAGTCCAGCTGTGAGCAGTGAATGGAGCCTTCTTAACTGTTCTGAGGTGCTATCACTGATGATAAACTCTGCCTTTGAGCTCTGGAGTAATGTGCGTCAAGACATACAAAATAATAACAAGCTGGCTTCCTTTAAAACACTCCCCTAAGAGACATAGAGACTGGCTTTAACCTAGAAAACATACATTTAACCCCTCAGACATTTAGGGAGTAGCCACTGTCCAAGGAGATGAATATTCACTGTTGCAACTCATGCAGTTTAACCGACAACTCTGGTGTTCAGGAAGCACCAAGTTCCAACTCCTACTCCGACCAACTGAGCCTCCAGAACCTGTTTTCTTTATTACAGCAGCCTAACAGCACTGTAAGACAATGGGAAGAAAGCGTACACAAACCAATTCAAGCCAGCTTGAACAAAAAAGGAAATCAGGTGCTCAAAAAAACATCAAAATCAGGCTTGATTAAGGCAATTTATGCCGAAACCTAAGCTTGTTGTATGCCCCAATAAATACTCATATCAATGCAGAAACAGAGTGCTCCTTTTTCTTGATTTTCCTGGATAGTCACCCGTTGAAGTGTCCTGGGGTTAGGGCTGTTGCGGTGACCGTATTACCGCCACACCAGCAGTCATGAGTCAAGACCGCAGTATAAATCCATGTGACCGTTGAGTCACAGTAATCTCCTCTTATACACTCTGGACATGCGTTGGTAGTACCCAACTCGCTAACCTCAATCGGGTCTCTAATGGTCTGGTACTCAGGGCTCTATTGTCCCTCTAACCACTCTGACATCACATCAAACACTCATCATCAAAACAGTGTCATGCTTTTAAAACTCACCTCACTGTGATTGATCAATTTGAACAAAGAAGTTCAACAACAGGTTGAAACTGAGTGGAAAACCTGTTTGTTGTTTCAAAGCCTAACACAACAAAATGGACAGCACTTTCTAAGGTGATGATTAATTCAAAACATCCATATACAAATTAGAGCTTATGCATAGGCCTATATATGAGCCCAAGCACGAAAAAAAGCCTACCAATACATAGCCTACCGCATATTACGTACTGCATATTTTTTTATGACCTAGGCGATGCTGTTGGTTCATTGATTGTGCAGGGCGGCTTACAGAGTTAGCCTACAATTATAGTTAATTTGTATTTGAATAGCCTAGTAATAGGGCATTTTTTATATTTTCATAATTAATAGGCTGACACATGACCTTTAGCTACAGAATATCTCAACATCATATTACACATGGCAGAAAAACATACAAAAAGACTGATTTAAGAGATCTTTGGTACATAATTGTTCTAGCCTAAATTAAACAAATTCAGAGTTAGCCTACAATTACAGTGAATTTGTATTTTATTTTGAATACCCTAGTAATATAGGGCTTTTTTTTTTTTTTCATAATTAATAGGCAGACACATTACCTTTAGCTACAGAATATCTCACTACTGTGCGTTTCCATCTCCTCCCCTCTCTCCTTCATTACTTTCTCCAGCATGCAGAGAGAGGGGATGTCAACAGTTTAATGAAATAGCCCATGTTTCATTGTGAAAACATGTTACTATTGATGTTCCCGAACAGATTTCACTTGGTTTCCCAAATTAAGCACTGGGTAGCTGCAGGAACAGGGTTGGAGAGCCCATGGCATACAGAGTTCGGGCAGAATATCACCTGTCACGTAGCGAAAGGATGCATGCTCCTCAAACAGTGGTTGATGGGTGGAGTGAAATAACCAGAGTAGCCTACCTGGCATGATGGAAAAAAACGAACCGGCAGGATAGGGATTCGAGTGCATACAGATTACATTTATTTTTTCCCCTGCCCCTGTTCCTGCCCATTTGATAATGGGCCATTCTAAATCAAAACTCATTTTACATATTAGTAAAGACAAGATTCAATTGAGAATAGTCTGATGTGTGAAAATATGATCACTTAATGAGAAAACAGCGTGTGCAGCCTGAGGCAAGGAACAGAGCGCAATGTTTTTTTGCGACTTTCTCAAATCATCAACAGCCTAAAGTTGCGAAATAACTCTACATCTAGCATATAGGACCTGTTTCAAATGATTACTTTTAAGCTCAACATCGCTCCCGAATGGGAAAAATATCCATTCTATTTTATTCAGCTAAATTCAATTATATTCTTCCTACTATAAAATCATATAATATAAAATAATGGCACAGGACTTATAAGCATATCTTGTCTACTATACGAACAAGCCTAGAGCCTATGGCATGCACTAATAAAGACCCATATCTATAAAGGCTATGTTATCACCATCTCTATGAGTCAGAGTATGAGTTTCAGATGAGGGCTTCGATGCAGCAGTGTGATTAGAGCTAGCTAGGCCTGTCTGTGTCTGGGAATGTGGCTAAGAGCATGCTATACTGTAAAGTGTAAATAACATCATGTCCTCTAGACTACTCCGTCCAGACCACAACTATTGACAAGTCTGACACTAAAAAGGGAGTCTACGCACCACACACACACCACCGTAAATCACCAAGCACAATGCAAGTGTGTCTGTTACCACGGAGACCCAATGCCCCTCATAGCCCATCCCCTTGTGGCCTCTGACCTATGGTTTGGGGAGAAAGGGGAACGGGTGCGTGCAGGGGCACCCCTACACCCTCAGCCCCTGACCCCATAACTCAGAGCAGACTGTTAGGGTATGTTTGGGGTGACTGGGCCTCTCCACTCTGATTTGGACAACCCTTAATCTAACCGGTGCCTTGAGTAGGCCATAAAAATATCATAGACTGTGTCCCAAATGGCACCGCAATCCCTACATAGTGCACTATGTTTGACCTGGGCCCATAGAGCTCTGGTCAAAAGTAGTGCACTGTGTATGGAATAGGATGCCACGTGGAACGCAGACATAGAGTATCCCTTTATAAGTTCTCAAAGGCTCTGATGTAGAAAGTGATAGGTCTTCTGAGCTTAGTCTGGCTTTAGATGAAGTCCAGATTGGATCCTATCTGGACTGTCAGGACCAGGTTTGGCTGTTCTCAATCTGACTGGGGTGATGTATAACATAAGATGCCAGCGTGCCTGGTTGCGGTAGCCTCTTCCTAGATTTAAGAGAGTTCCTGGACAGCAAGGTTATTATAGTGTTTTTAAATTAGTTTTTATTTCTATTCATTTTCTATTTTTATTTGAAATTCTGATTTGCTCATTTTTATTTAGTTTTAGTTGTATTAAAATATTTATATTTAGTTTTAGTGCTAGGGATAGAAAGCATGCGTGGGAGGCTAGTTTTTTGTGAAATGTTTTGTGTCACTTCTTGCAACTGGGGGCAGTAATACATAAGGTGATTTGTCAGGTCATAGGTTAGATTAGGTTTAATTATTAGGTGAATCTCAACGTGACTTGGATTAATTAAAAGGAATAGCACCCAGACTGGTACAAAATAGATGTCGGAAGGAAACTTTCTCTCGCGTATGTTTACACCAATCCAACACTTTTTAACTTTAGTAGTACATGTGAGAAGAATCAAGTTAGCTACCTAGACGATATTTTCTGTTAGCTAGTGATAGCTAGTGATAGTGATCAAAGATTGTGTATACACTGACAAGATACTGGACTGACCACTCTAACAATGGGAATAAATGTCGGCAAAGGAGGTGAGGAGGTTGGATCAGGTGGGGATATTCAAGCCAATGAGAGGGCAGATACGCACAACTGATATAAAATAGTTTTTCTCAAAGTTGTCGGAATACCACGTGCGGCCACTTATATATGTACATTCAAAGCAACCAAAACATTATGGCTATTTGATCAAATAAGCCTCACGTAGCAAATTAGCAATTATATTTTGTGTTGACCAACACTGTTGCTGGTATTTTGGCCCATTCCTCCATGCAGATCTCCTCTAGAGCAGTGATGTTTTGGGGCTGTCGCTGGGCAACACAGACTTTCAACTCCCTCCAAAGATTTTCTATGGGGTTGAGATCTGGAGACTGGCTAGGCCACTCCAGGACCTTGAAATGCTTCTTACGAAGCCACTCCTTCGTTGCCCGGGCGGTGTGTTTGGGATCATTGTCATGCTGAAAGACCCAGCCACGTTTCATCTTTAATGCCCTTGCTGATGGAAGGAGGTTTTCACTCAAAATCTCACGATACATGGCCCCATTCATTCTTTCCTTTACACGGATCAGTCGTCCTGGTCCCTTTGCAGAAAAACAGCCCCAAAGCATGATGTTTCCACCCCCATGCTTCACAGTAGGTATGGTGTTCTTTGGATGCAACTCAGCATTCTTTGTCCTCCAAACACGACGAGTTGAGTTTTTACCAAAAAGTTCTATTTTGGTTTCATCTGACCATATGACATTCTCCCAATCCTCTTCTGGATCATCCAAATGCACTCTAGCAAACTTCAGATGGGCCTGGACATGTACTGGCTTAAGCAGGGGGACACGTCTGGCACTGCAGGATTTGAGTCCCTGGCGGCGTAGTGTGTTACTGATGGTAGGCTTTGTTACTTTGGTCCCAGCTCTCTGCAGGTCATTCACTAGGTCCCCCCGTGTGGTTCTGGGATTTTTGCTCACCGTTCTTGTGATCATTTTGACCCCATGTGGTGAGATCTTGCATGGAGCCCCAGATCGAGGGAGATTATCAGTGGTCTTGTATGTCTTCCATTTCCTAATAATTGCTCCCACAGTTGATTTCTTCAAACCAAGCTGCTTACCTATTGCAGATGCAGTCTTCCCAGCCTGGTGCAGGTCTACAATTTTGTTTCTGGTGTCCTTTGACAGCTCTTTGGTCTTGGCCATAGTGGAGTTTGGAGTGTGACTGTTTGAGGTTGTGGACAGGTGTCTTTTATACTGATAACAAGTTCAAACAGGTGCCATTAATACAGGTAACGAGTGGAGGACAGAGGAGCCTCTTAAAGAAGAAGTTACAGGTCTGTGAGAGCCAGAAATCTTGCTTGTTTGTAGGTGACCAAATACTTATTTTCCACCATAATTTGCAAATAAATTCATTAAAAATCCTACAATGTGATTTTCTGGAATTTTTTTCTCATTTTGTCTGTCATAGTTGACGTGTACCTATGATGCAAATTACAGGCCTCTCTCATCTTTTTAAGTGGGAGAACTTGCACAATTGGTGGCTGACTAAATACATTTTTTCCCCACTGTAGGCGTACAGAAAGAGGCCAATTCGTACATGTTCAATTAGATTATTTTTTTATAAAGATAAGCATTATATTGTTAGATTAAAGGCGTAACTCTGGTAGGCCTAAAACATTCTTCCTCACCTCAACTTCAACTGTCGGAGTCAGTTGGAGTGCTGGTGTGCACTGCCTTCACAGGCCTGCAGTAGCTAAGCCTAATAATAACCATAGCCTACCACACCAAACATTTACAAAATGTTCTTAACTTTATTAGGGTAATATCAAAAGTAAGTCGACCTTGTTTATAGGGAAAATACGAACAGGTTATTATACTGCGGCATTAAATTACGTTTTGCATCTCGCCCTGTTTGGTTTTTCCTTCTCATGGTTTGAGTGTGAGTAGCCCTATAGCAGGCTCTAGTGGTAATTCTATTATTTTGTGGCAAACACAACAATATAGTTGGAACTTAATTTAACCAACAAAAATGTCTCTACAAAATGAAACAAAATACTTTTTGCAAAGACTATTTAAAGAATTGGTTTAGATTATTAAATAGGCCTGTAATAATGATACACAATAATATGAATGATAAAACAAATTATAATATTTATGAAAATAAATAAATAAAAGTTAGAAAATTGCATCAAACCTGAATAGCGAGTTGCACACAGTCCATTAAGGCCGCGCCAACTTGTCCCACGGACATTCTCCTTGTCTGAGAATTGTTTTACTTCAATGGAAAAGGCCTCCATCTTCACAAGCAACAGTAGCCTAGGCCAAGGCTCCTTTCACTGGCTTTCTCCTCAACAGCAGGCGCACATGAGGTGAGAAGCCGGAACCTGTTTAAGCTGGACATTAGCGATACGTTTTATTGAGTTGCAATTGGCTGACACATAACAAAGCTTGCGCAGTTCTCATCACCTCACACACATTAAATTAACAGAGGACGGGTCCAATCGGGTCCAGTCGGTAATACATTTTTAGTTGCACATACCTGACCCAGATCCGAGACAAAAGTCAGAATTTAGGACCCGCTTGGCTCCCGGGTCGGATCTCGTGTGTGCACATGTGTGTGTTAGCTCGCCTTTGCGTGTATGCGTTTGTGTTTGTTTTACGCTGCCGACAGAACACTAGTTGCATAAAGGCGACAGGTCCAGTCATGGGAGAAACTAAACAAGTAAGAAAGAGGAGGATTTGGTTTAGAAACAGGAAATATGCCCAGACTGGCAATAGCATGGACATTAATCTCCCGTTCCCATGGTATTATACCTCCACAACAGCCGCAATACAACACACAGAACAATGAAAACCAACATTCCTTAAGTTTGCACAGTGCAAATAATACTGTGGTTGTCATGGCCAGGTATTGAGATGAACGAAGTACTACATGATACGTCGCTCGTTAACAATAATCATCTTCTTTAGAACTGGTTCCTATTGAGAAAGGTTGGGATTTGGCCTAAATTCACCAATGACAACAATACATGAATGCAAAACCTTAACGCAACCATGCTGCTCTAAAGAACTCTTATTTACATTTCTGAGACTAAATGCTTGTCAGTGTCAGCATGCCTGGTAGAAACAAGCCTAGTTGATAGGTAGTGTAACAAAAGAATGCAACAATGTTTTCTGCTATCCTGGCGAACAGTCAGAACAGAGGCAGATACTCTTTCAGAGGGGGCTGAACAAAACTATACGTACAGTGGGGTCCAAAATTAGTGTAATTAATTTTGGACCCCACTGTACGCACACACACACACAGACAGACACACAGACACACAGACAACCAGACCCTGGATGTCTCCCAACCTGCTAGGAGGTTGGCCAATCACAATGCAGTATTTCACATCTGATAAAACTGGGGTTAGGGAAGCAAGGAAAGCGGGAATCAAAGACAGTCTGGAAATTAAAAAAACCGGTGTCTTTTGTGACAAAAATGTATGAGACTATACTAAAGCTTCAACACAATGCACATGCATTCCAGTTAACATATAAGCTTTCCTGGAAGCTGGTTGGAAAATAGTCTAAAAGTCGGTGCTAAGAAACTCTCTCATGTTCAGAGAAGCATAGTCTATAATATAGATTTGAGGTAGATGATGTAGATGTTGTCAGTCTGCTATTGTAATTCAATGGGCCAGAGGCCATGGAAGTTTGTGGGAAAATAACACCCAGCAATTGACTGCCATGTAAGGTCGTCTAATATCCGATTACCTTTGGTGGTGAATTTGATCCGCAATATGAAATAAGCATTATAATGCTCCTTAAGATTGGTTTTTATAAAGAGCGTAAGGAAAATCGTAGCCATGTTTCCCTTATGATTAACTGGGACACACACGACTCATAAGATCGTTATGATATATTCAGGATCATTATGATTCATATGGTACTTAAATGTAGTCACACTTTATTTCGATAGTCCATAATAAATTATCTACAGCTGGTCAAAATATCAACAGACTATCAACCAGGTTATCTGAGTAGGTGAACTTGACAGGTATGCAGACTCCTCCATTGGGGTGTCCATTACATTTCTGTCTTCAACATATGTTTACTGTTTATATGTATAGCAACAAACAAACCAGACAGAGAGATAAACAAGGTGTAGCAGTGTCTTACCCTGTTGTAGTAGTGCAGCTGGACAGAGTGCCAGTGACCGTCACTGACCCCTCCGGGAACAAAGGGATGGACCACGGTCTTAGCCTCTCCTGGAGGAGGGAGAGAAAGTGATGGGGAGAGAGGGAAAGACAGAAAGAGGGAGCGAGGAAAGATAGGAAAGACGATAAAGATGAAAAGAGGTTGTGGTTAATTCAATACCATATTGTCTGTTGAATGTACAGTACCAGTCAAAACTTTGGACACACCTACTCATTCCAGGGTTTTTCTTTATTTTTTACTATTTTCTACATTGTAGAATAATAGTGAAGACATCAAAACTATGAAATAACACATGGAATCATGTAGTAACCAAAAAAGTGTTAAATAAATCAAAATATATTTGATATTTTAAATTCTTCAAAGTAGCCACCCTTTGACTTGATGACAGCTTTGCACACTCTTGACATTCTCTCAACCAGTTTCACCTAGAATGCTTTTCCAACAGTCTTGAAGGAGTTCCCACATATGCTGAGCACTTGTTGGCTGCTTTTCCTTCACTCTGCGGTCCGACTCATCCCAAACCATCTCAATTGGGTTGAGGTCGGGGGATTGTGGAGGCCCGGTCATCTGATGCAGCACTCCATCACTCTCCTTCTTGGTCAAATAGCCCTTACACAGCCTGGAGGTGTGTTGGGTCATTGTCCTGTTGAAAAACAAATGATAGTCCCACTAAGCCCAAACCGGATGGGATGGTGTATCGTTGCAGAATGCTGTGGTAGCCATGCTGGTTAAGTGTGCCTTGAATTCTAAATAAATCAATCACTGACAGTGTCACCAGCAAAGCACCCCCACACCATAACACCTCCTCCTCCATGCTTTACGGTGGGAAATACACATGCGGAGATCATCCGTTCACCCACACCGCGTCTCACAAAGACACGGCGGTTGGAACCAAAAATCTACAATTTGGACTCCAGACCAAAGGACACATTTCCACCGGTCTAATGTCCATTGCTTGTGTTTCTTGGCCCAAGCAAGTCTCTTCTTCTTATTGCTGTCCTTTAGTAGTAGTTTCTTAGCAGCAATTCGACCATGAAGGCCTGATTCACACAGTCTCCTCTGAACAGTTGATGTTGAGATGTGTCTGTTACTTGAACTCTGTGAAGGATTTATTTGGGCTGCAATTTCTGAGGCTGGTAACTCTAATGAACTTATCCTCTGCAGCAGAGGTAACTCTGGGTCTTCCATTCCTGTGGCGGTCCTCATGAGAGCCAGTTTCATCATAGCGCTTGATGGTTTTTGTGTGCACTTGAAGAAACGTTCAATGTTCTTGACATTTTCCGGTTTGACTGACCTTCATGTCTTAAAGTAATGATGGACTGTCGTTTCTCTTTGCTTATTTGAGCTGGTCTTGCCATAATATGGACTTGGTCTTTTACCAAATAGGGCTATCTTCTGTATACCACCCCTACCTTGTCACAACACAACTGATTTGCTCAAACACATTAAGAAGGAAAGAAATTCCACAAATGGACTTTTAACAAGGCACACCTGTTAATTTAAATGCATTCCAGGTGAGTGAAGGAAAAGCAGCCAACAAGTGCTCAGCATATGTGGGAACTCCTTCAAGACTGTTGGAAAAGCATTCTAGGTGAAACTGGTTGAGAGAATGTCAAGAGTGTGCAAAGCTGTCATCAAGGCAAAGGGTGGCTACTTTGTAGCTCAATTGGTAGAGCATGGTGCTTGTAACGCCAGGGTAGTGGGTTCGATCCCCGGGACCACCCATACGTAAAAATGTATGCACACATGACTGTAAGTCGCTCTGGATAAAAGCGTCTGCTAAATGGCATATTATATTATTATATTATTTGAAGAATCTAAAATATCAAATATATTTTGATTTGTTTAACACTGTTTTGGTTACTACATGATTCGATATGTGTTATTTCATAGTTTTGATGTCTTCACTATTATTCTACAATGTAGAAAACAGTAAAAATAAAGAAAAACCCTGGAATGAGTAGGTGTGTCCAAACTTTTGACTGGTACTGTACATAACCTTGCATGCCAGACCTGTAGGCTCTACTTTAATAGGAAGGATAACTGTCTCCTAATATAGTAGTGTCATCGTAGAACATGCATTTTTAAAACGATTTTTCAGCCTCTAAGTATGTCAAAGTTAAAATCAACGTAAGGAAACCTATTTCTCTCCTCCATTCATTCATTAAGTTAAAACATGAAACTCCAACATGGGGAAATAAAAACGCAGCCAGACTCACAAAGCCAGCCAGCTCTCACAGTCATCATAAATCACACTCACTGTAAGAACACCAGGGTATTCCAACCATGTCAATGGTTCTCATTCAAGTCTACAGAGCAACAATCACACCAGATTTACCCAGGGCTTTACTGACTGTTTACCAAGGGCAGGAGTCCCTCTGGAAGAATTTACCCACCGACTCAGTCAACAGTAATGCAACACTGTAGCTGTGTTACACAGAGCCATTAGTCATGGTGTTTAGTGTGTCTTTATCAGAAAAACTCAATGACTTCTGCAGTACAACGTTGCCTTTTCTCATGGCTGTGTGGTATAAACTCCAGGGCTCTCTAGGCATTGGCAGTGAGACAGACTCAGCGCAGTGGATCCAACAAGAGCTGTGTTTGTTTGCGTGCATATTTGTGTTTGAGCTAGAGGAAGCAGTGACCCAGTCCTTGCTCCTTTGTTTATGAGTGTGTGTGAGCAGGGCTGAGCAGGGCTGAGGTGTAAGTAGGTCTTTATGGCTTGTTAAGTGTCTATACTGTCATGAATCAGTCTGCCCAGGCTCTGTTATGGGGGAAAGCAGCTGCTCTCTGACCACAGTAAAACACTCATCCCTTTCACACAGCCAAAGCCAATGCATCTCTAGGTGTAACGGCACAGCAGCATAGCCAGACAATGGAGAGGACACATTCTAATGAAATCCTGTAACGGTTTGTTTCACACTGGTCAAGGAGTTCAGCTGATAAGAGTATTTACCAAGCGGTTTGTTTGAAAGCCACATTAATGATATCCTTACAGCGGAGTTGATAAATCAAGCCATCAGCTAGTGTTGATACAAGCAACTTGTAAGTCATTGTCCAGCTCTTTGTGTGAGGATGATTATTTGTACTGTGGACACACACACTGCCGCCATTCTCACCTGCGGAGAAGGTGAGTTGGATCTGTTCCTCGATAATCTCCAAGGCGATAAAGTCGTGTTTCTCGTTAAATCTCCCATTGTACAGCAGCAGGGCATTCCTCTCTCTGGTGGCAAACCTGGGGACAAGATGGACACAGGGTCAACCTTTTATTGTCAAACACACATTTGGTGCCAAACTGGCACCCATTCAAATCCTACATCTCAAACATAGTTAGTCAAACTCTTTTTTTTTGTGTGAAAAATTATTAATTAGGTTTTGACAGTATGTGCCTTAGACAAACTCCGTGACAGAGTCTGTGTATCTAACCCAAACTGCCAGATAAGATACACTATATATACAAAAGTATGTGGACACCCCTTCAAATCTGTGGATTCGTCTATTTCAGCCACAACCATTGCTGACAGGTGTATAAAATCAAGCACACAGCCATGCAATCTCCATAGACAAACATTGGCAGTAGAATGGCCTTACTGAAGAGCTCAGTGACTTTCAACGTGGCACCATCATAGGATGCCACCTTTCCAACAAGTCAGTTAGTCAAATTTCGGCCCTGCTAGAGCTGCTCCGGTCAACTGTAAGTCCTGTTACTGTGAAGTGGAAACTTCTAGGAGCAACAGCGGCTCAGCTGCGAAGTGGTAGGCCACACAAACGCACAGAACCGCCAAGTCAGCACAATAACTGTTTGTGGTGTCCATGGCCAAGCAGCCGCATACAAGCCTAAGATCACCATGCGCAATGCCAAGCATCGGCTGGAGTGGTGTAAAGCTTGCTGCCATTGGACTCTGGAGCAGTGGAAACGCGTTCTCTGGAGTGATGAATCAAGCTTCACCATCTGGCAGTCCAACGGACAAATCTGGGTTTGGCAATGCCAGGAGAATGCTACCTGCCCCAATGCATAGTGCCAACTGCAGTTTGGTGGAGGAGGAATAATGGTCTGGGGCTGTTTTTCATGGTTCGGGCTAGGCCCCTTAGTTCCAGTAAAGGGGAATCTTAACGCTACAGCATACAATGACATTCTAGACGATTCTGTGCTTCCAACCTTGTGGCAACAGTTTGGGGAAGGCCCTTTCCTGTTTCAGCATGACAATACCCCTGTGCACAAAGCGAGGTCCATACAGAAATGGTTTGTCGAGATCAGTGTGGAAGAACTTGACTGGCCTGCACAGAGCCCTGACCTCAACCCCATCGAACACCTTTGGAATTCATTGGAATGCCAACTGCGAGCCAGGCCTAATTGCCCAACATCAGTGCCCGACCTCACTAACGCTATTGTGGCTGAATGGAAGCAAGTCCCCGCAGCAATGTTCCAACATCTAGTGGAAAGCCTTCCCAGAAGATGGGGGTGACCAACTCCATATTAATGCCCATTATTTTGGAATGAGATGTTCGATGAGCAGGTGTCCACATACATTTTGGTCATGTAGTGTATATGAGAGGTGGGATTTGGGCTTGGAGAGGTGTGTAAGGAAGGGGTGAGAAATTCCTGAGGAAGAGAGACTTGAAGGACAATATGGAAGTGGTCGTAAGACCAGTGGTCTAGAGACAGGAAGGAGGAAGTAGCCCCTGCTATAGTGTGTGCGTGTGTGTCTGCCTGCATGTATGCTATGAGGGGCACAGAGGGCACAAGAGTCAGACACCAGATGCCAGCAGAGTAGTGGGAGGTGCGGATGGGGGCAGGGGGGCAGGAAGATACTGCCTATAAAAGAAAACAGTGATAAGAGTACCTCATCACAGGGCACTTCCTGTTTTCACCCTGTTCTACCGTTTCTCACTGACACAAACTATGCTTTTTACATCAACCCACTTTTATGATCCTCACCCCACCTAGAACTTCAAATGGGACTAGCAACAGATCTGACGCAATATTTACACTATTGTGCAAGTGCACTAGTTTTGATCAGAGCCACATAGGGCTGCCACATATAATGTAGTTTCCTATAGTTTATGGGCCGGGAATATGGTGTCATTTGAGAGACAGCCGCTATGTGTTCCTGCCTTGACTAATGGGGTAATGAAAGGTGTTCTAGCTCATTTTCCTATACGGCAGATTCAACAGAGTGTGAACACAAACACACCCCTCTCGTGTTTAATGTAAAGATGTCTCTACACGCCCCACTGAACTGGTACACTGAACTGAGTGAAGTGTGTTTTTTGTGCAACCCTCCCCACACACGCAAACATGTACAGTAGGCATGTCGCTCTGTTAACACATCTAGGCTGTGTGGCTGTATGTGTGTGTGAGGGGAAGATCGACAGGAGATGCGAGAAGAGAGGGTAAATGGGGAGAATAGTACAATAGATGGAGATAGAGAGAGAGAGTAGATGGTTTCCAAGTACTCACATGAATGAGACAGTAAAGTGGAACCTCTGTCGTAGTCCTCTGAAGGTGATGAAAGACTGACCAGGAAAGGACCTGGTGGTCATCTCACAGTAAGGCTTCTCGTACTCTCCCGGGGGACACTGGCACATGAACCCCCCCACCAGCAGGTCCACACATTTCCCCCCATTCTTACACACCCCCGGGACACACCGCCCTGACCGGGCATTCACCTCACAGTGCTCACCTAGGGAGAGAGGGGAGGAGGGAGATAGTATGGTTTAAGAGTTATTAACAGCCAGTCAGACACACAAAAAGTCATATTCATAGACTGCATTCCCATTTATTTTACCCCCTTTTTTCATGGTATCCAATTGGTAGTTACAGTCTTGTCCCATCGCTGCAACTCCCGTACGGACACGGGAGAGGTGAAGGTCGAGAGTCGTGCGTCCTCCGAAACACAACCCAACTGCTCCTTGACACAGTGCCCACTTAACCCGGAAGCCAGGCGCACCAATGTGTCGGAGGAAACACCGTACACCTGGTGACCCAGTCAGCGTGCACTGCACTCGGCCCGCCACAGGAGTCGCTAGTGCACGATGGGACAAGAACATCCCTGTCGGCCAAATTGTGCGCCGACACTGAGCAAATTGTGCGCCGCCCCATGGGTCTCCCAGTCGCGGCCTGCTGCGACAGAGCCTGGATTCGAACCAGGATCTCTAGAGGCACAGCTAGCACTGCGATGCAGTGCCTTTGACCACTGCGCCACTCGGGAGACCTTGCATTCCCATTTCTGAGAGACAGAAGACACTGAACAGACGTCACTGTTTCCATATTGGTCTGCTGAATGGTTCTCATGGAGGATCTAATAATAATAATAAAATGATAATATTTTATTGTCACATACACCGGATAGATGGAGTGACGTGTTGTTTTACAGGGTCAGCCATACTAATACGGCGCCCCCGGTGCAAATTAGGGTTACAGACACTAACTACTGCTCTGGACATCACATCACCACCACAGATACACAGCTCAGTTTCCCACTGACAGACTGTCTGTCTATGAGACCACAGGAAACTGGCTGACTGGCTCAAGTTTGCAGACCAAAGTGGGCCAGCCAAGGCAGATTCCTGATTCCTCCACTGACAGACTCCCCTGGGTCCATCAGTTTCCTTATCTAAGATGGCCGCCAACCATCGGCGTCAACTCCAGCTCCAGTGTTGTGTCAACCATCATCCCGACAAGATCTGTCCAGGAGGGGGGACGGGGGGGTGGGGGGGGACGGGGGGCACAGCCAGGTATGCGTGGGATGGAGTGCAGGATGCCAGAACATCAGAGCTCAGACAATGTCTGGACCCTGGTAATGACTCTTCTCTCTGCGGTATAATCCCTTTTTCTGAGTAGAATTAGGAGGATCTGTTTCCCTGTAATGTGGGAATAATGTGGAAACCTAAGGCGAACACAGTAGGCCCCACTGTCACCGGCCACATAATGGCTCCTGACTAGCTGAGGTTGAACTGTGACCTTCAAAGACTAGGCCACCCATTGGAGGAGAGGAGGGGTGGAGGGTGGTATAATCAGGTAATTACAGCTGATAAGGAAGTGAAGGAGGGAAAGAGAGGAAAGGAGAGGTGGGGTTGTTATTATATTCTACCGGGCCCCATTGTAGGGACAGCGAGATGGAGAGATGTGGTATCATGATGAAAGCTCCCGTTCAGTTGACCTGTAAACTCCATAATAAAAACTTTCTGAGTGCATCTGATAGCACTCAGGATAGCACTGATAGCACCCTCAACCATCACTCATAGGCACAAAGAAAGGAGTAGGGAGTAGGGCCTACTATAGAGTGTACCTGGGGCTGCCAGCTAGACAGCATTCCAACCTCATCTCAAACATAAATCACATTGAGAAAGACCACATGCTTTCCCATTTAGTAAAGGGGTCATTTGTAGTTGATGGTTCATCAGTGGGTTGGCGCATCCTGCTGCTGGCAAACACCAGAGTTGATCTGCAGCCAAAATGACTGCCATGAAATGCGTGCATCACCCAAATTGGAAGCTACACTCTGATGGTGGATGGGGTGACTTACCAGAAAGTACCTACATATAATTTTAAGCTCTTAGAGACCTAGTAAAGTATTAGCCTGGTCCCAGATCTGTTTATGCTACTTTGCCAACTACTATGGCCATTTCACACCCTTGGCAAGACCGCACAACAGCTCAAAGAACAGGCTAGCAAAGGATAATCCAGTATAGAAACAACTCATTCACCGAGTGGAGCAACTCACCAGTGAAGTCTTCCTGACACTCGCATGTATAGCCTCCCTCTCGGCTGCGACACTTCCCGTTGTTCCTGCAGGGTCCTGAGTAGCAGAGGTCTATCTCCGTCTCGCAGTAGTCCCCGGTAAAGCCTGCAGGACAGCGGCAGCGCAGACCGTTGATGGGGTGGATGGGACGGAACAGCACCGTGTTGGAGGAGATGAAGGGCGGGGAGCTGTCAAACTTCAGCACAGACACACACTTCATGTAGTTCTCACACGGCTCCCTCAGGCAGATGTTGTCGTCGAAGGGAAGCACCTGGAATGGATACAATGAATTAGGAAATCGCTCAAATCCAGAAACTGAACTGGGGCGTTGGTTTTCGTTCGCTCCTTCGAATCAGTGGCTGACTTAGATCGGGAAAACCTGAGTCGTGTTCATTAGGGCACACAGTAGCTAAACTTTTCAAAACAACAACAAATATTTATTATTGTTCAGCTAGTACCTTCGAGTTTCTGAGAATGTTCTTCAATTTCGTGCCAACTGTACATGACCCAGTTCTACAGGAGTGCCTATAGGGTAGGTAGGGGTCGATTTGGGATTCATTCAAATGACCTGGTGTGAGTAGGTTACCTGTTGTGATGATATTAGTCGGAGCAAGGTGCGGTTCAGGTAGATATGCTCCTGCAGCTCCTCGGAGGGGAAGTACCTCCCTGGGGGACCCCCTGGCTGCAGCGCCGAGAAGGTCACGTTGAGGATGGCGCCGCGCACGTCTGTGTCGTTCTGGATGTTGAACACAAAGACGGCCTGGCGGCTGGTGGAGAGTAGGGAATAGCGAGTAGAGAATCTTATGATCATAGGGAGCAGAAGTACTGTAGCAGCAACAGAATGGCTACATGGACCTCCATGGAGTAGAAGCTAGAGTTACAACATTTCAATATCTTTCCCCAAAATTCCCAGGTTAGACCGAAATCCCGGTTGGTGGATTATTATTCCCTCCTGATACTGAGAATCTTCCGGAACCCTAAGTAGGAGCAGACAAAGTACCTGGTGGAGAGCACGGCTGCCACACCCTCCAGGAAGAGGGACAGCAGAGGGGACAGGAAGCGCTCCTGAGACATGTTCTCCAGGCGTACCGTGATGCTGTTGGTTAACATGTCGTCTGTGATTATGGTGACACGCAGGGTGCACAGGGCTGTGACCCGATGGATCCCGTCTGGGTAGGGGGAGGAGAGAGAGGGAGGCTAGGGTTAAATGGATGAACTACAGAGCATGGAACAGTTAAAAGGTGGATCAGAACTCATGTACACAATTGAAGCCATGAAGATTTGTTAAGATTTGTTTAGCATTTTGTTGAATATAGAAGTGATCATCATCTAAGTGGATTTATTCCAGAGCAGAAGTAGAGCCAACCACAGTTCAACCACATTAAACACATGAAGATTGGTGTCAACGTTGTTGAATAGTTAATGATTGAGAACATTTTGTTATAACTGTCCCGATCAAAGACATTAAATCAAGTAGACAGAGTCACTGGTAGGCATATACAGTGGCTTGCAAAAGTATTCACCCCCCCTTGGCATTTTCCTATTTTGTTGCCTTACAACCTGGATTTTTGGGGGGTTTGTATCATTTGATTTACACAGCATGCCTACCACTTTGAAGATGCAAAATACTTTTTATTGTGAAACAAACAAGAGATAAGACAAAAAAACTGAAAACTTGAGCGTGCATAACTATTCAGTCAATACTTTGTAGAGCCACCTTTTGTAGCAATTACAGCTGCAAGTCTCTTGGGGTATGTCTCTATAAGCTTGGCACATCCAGCCACTGGGAGTTTTGCCCATTCTTCAAGGCAAAACTGCTCCAGCTCCTTCAAGTTGGATGGGTTCCGCTGGTGTACAGCAATCTTTAAGTCATACTACAGATTCTCAATTGGATTGAGGTCTGGGCTTTGACTAGGCCATTCCAAGACATTTAAATGTTTCCCCTTAAACCACTCAAGTGTTGCTTTAGCAGTATGCTTAGGGTCATTGTCCTGCTGGAAAGTGAACCTCCGTCCCAGTCTCAAATCTGTAGCAAAGGGGGTGAATACATATGCACGCACCACTTTTCCGTTATTTATTTTTTAGATTTTTTAAAAACTATTTTGTGTATGTCCATTACATGAAATGCAAATAAAAATCCAGTTAAATTACAGGTTGTAACGCAACAAAATAGGAAAACGCCAAGGGGATGAATACTTTTGCAAGGCACTGTATCATTTGAATAAATAACCTGTCCTGTCAATGACATGAAAGTGTCAGTATTTTCCCCCTCTTGTCCAGAAACAAACTTTAATTACGTACAGTAAATATCTCAATCCTAACGGCTGACAACGGCACATATCTCTTCTCAGAGGAGATCTAGGGTGCATCCCAAATGGCACCCTACTCCCTATGTAGTGTATTACTTTAGACCAAGGCCCAGTGGCTCTGGTCAGAAGTACTGCACTTTATAGGGAATATAGTGCAATTTGGGACGCATCCCAAGAGTGTGACCACCAACACTTCCCACAAATGAGAGACGTGTGCTGCTCACAGCGATTTCCGGACAAATATTATGTTACAGTGAGACTTGGGAAGGACTGGCTTATATTTTCTTCAGTCTCTGCCAGTATTCTCTCTCTGTGCTGAGCTCCACTTGTTTGTCATGCCATTGTTCTCTCTCTGCTACAGTAGATTGAATTAAGTAGGTCTCCTTGTGATTCCACCTGATTCCACCTAAGTCATTAAACAAATCTGATCTTGATTTCAACTCGTGGAACAACTGAAAACTGCTAAGTCTTACTAACCCATATATCATATACAGGGGCGCAACTTTGGTTTTAGAAGTGGGGGGGACAGTAGGATTAACACTCCAAACAGCCTACCCGACCGCTCGGAGGCGTCCGCATGTCCTAAAGCACACCGTTGCCTTGTTTTGCATCAAATTCCAATGATAAAACTGGGGGTGACAAAAATGCAATTTCAGAATGTGGGGGGGGGGGGACATGTCTCCCGAGTGGCGCAGTGGTCTAAGGCACTGCATCGCAGTGCTAGCTGTGCTATTAGAGATCCTGGTTCGAATCCAGGCTCTGTCGTAGCCGGCCGCGACCGGGAGACCATGGGGCGGCGCACAATTGGCCCAGGGTATGGGAGGGAATGGCCGGCAGGGATGTAGCTCAGTTGGTAGAGTATGGCGTTTGCAACGCCAGGGTTGTGGGTTTGATTCCCACGGGGGGCCAGTATGAAAAAAAAAGTTTTAAAAAAATGTATGCACTCACTAACTGTAAGTCGCTCTGGATAAGAGCGTCTGCTAAATGACTTAAATGTAATGTCGTCGTCCGTCCCCAGTGAAATTTGCACCCCTGATCATATACACTGAGTGTACAAAACATCAAGAACACCTGCTCTTTCCATGACATAGACTGACCAGGTGAAACCTATGATCCCTTATTGATGTCACTTGTTAAATCCACTTCAATCAGTGTAGATGAAGAGGAGGTGACAGGTTAAAGAACACCTTTTTGAATATTGAGACAATTGAGATATGGATTGTGTATGTGTGCCATTCAGAGGGTGAATGGGAAAGACAAAAGATTTAAGTGCCTTTGAACAGGGTTTATGGTAGTAGGTGCCAGGCGCACCGGTTTGTGTCAAGAACTGCAATGCAGCTGGGTTTTTCATGCTCAATAGTTTGACACAACTGTGGGAAGCATTGGAATCAACATGGGCCAGCATCCCTGTGGAACGCTTTCAACACCTTGTAGAGTCCATGCCCTGACGAATTGAGGCTGTTCTGAGGGCAAGTCAATATTAGGAAGTTGTTCCTAATGTTTGGTATACTCAGTGTAGATCCTACAGGCCTGGGCCCATTCGTTTTAATGCTGGGTTATAGGGAGAGAGCTGACAACTCAAAACTGCTAACTCTAACTGATCAATCCAAGTCTATAGGGCTAGGCTATATGTTCAACACCAAGCATACAGAGAGAGCCTATAGGGCTCTAATACTGTGGTATCTGTGATGTAGGAGGAGAGTTGCCAACAGGTGGCTGCAGCAGTTGAAATACTGTTGAAACGTCTCTGAGTGGGAGATCGGGTTGCAGGAGTCTTTTTGAGTCAATGTGTATGCGGGCTTGAGAGAGGCGGCTGAGCGGCAGGTGCCTTGTCAGTCACTCTCCCCCAAATTAGGTCATTTCTCAGGACCCCTATACCACTTTCTACCCCGCCTCCCCCCTTCCCATATCCCCTCTCTGCTCCCGCCCCCGTCAGTGCCTCTGTTCATCAAACTGCCTCACACTGTTTAACAGACAGGGTGTTGATACCATTGTCTCCTCACAGCCTCCTCCTCCTCCTCCTCCTCCTCCTCCTCCTCCTCACAGCCTCCTCCTCCTCCTCCTCCTCCTCCTCCTCTCCCTCTTCTCTAAAGTGTTGGCCAGTGTGTCATCATCATCAGACAAAGAAGAGCAAGACGACCCATGTTTTCCACTCTGTTACACCCACATTCCCTTAATTCACGGTAGAGAGACTGTGCTCTACTAACACAGAGAGTATCTGTTACATTAGCCATCCGTTACAGAGTAGCCTACCCAGTTGTCCACTCCCCACCTGTCCCTCTGCCTGTCTGTCCGCACAATACACTGTTAGTACACATGGTGGTCTAGAAGCTAGATCAAACAGCTGATTGATTGAAACACAAACACATATGCAAGCAGGGATGGTCAGACAAACGTATGCGTGCACACACACTTTCACACACACACACACACCCCAGAAAGTCATAATGCAGGAGCCAGGTGTAAGAGGTTCCAGTCACCTGTTCAGTGTTGTCATTAAGCAGGGGTGAAGCAGGTCCTGACACTAGCTGTTGGCACTCAGCTTAAGACAACAGTAGCACTCTAAACCCGTTGCAGTTGAGAGTACAGCTCAAGCCGTCTTGATTGTGGGCTGAATGATGTGTTTGACACATGTTTCATCGCCTGTTCACAGTGTACTCAAAAGGCAATCTAAGCTATTCACTCACTGAGTAAACTAACCAGGAAAAGGCCTACTGTATTGGCCATGAAGTACATGCACACAGTCCTGACTCTCTAAGTAAGTTACTACATAGATCCACTGAACTTCATTCTGTTCCCCACACACAATGCTGAGGGAATGAGGGTTGTCAACAGGCCATTAACAGGGGAGAACAAGGTTAAATACAGGGAGAGTTTTACAGGTCTGCCATATTTTTCCTCTCTCTTTTTCCTGTGGCATCCCAAGAGAGATTGCTAGAGAGAGAGATGCTATTTATATCTCCCCAGCTGTTCTATTTGGGATCAATGAGAGGGCAACACACACACACACACAGGGTGTCCCTGGGCAGATCACAGCCAGTCATCCCAGGGTGTGTCACATTCAGACACCATGGAAACAGGAGCTCTCTGACGGTAAACAGGACTACAGAGTGACATGGGGGAAGACAGGACCCATCCCAGGGTGATATAAAACACCACATTACAAAGATGCCGTTTACAAGTATATTTGAGTTTGTCACAATGAAATATCCTGATGAAGGTCTATGGAGTCTGAAACTTTGGTGAAATAAGATCAATTACATTTGTTGGAAGCATCAAGATCGCCAGTGTGCTACAGTTTTCTAATTTTTTTTGTCTTTATTTTTGTCATTTAGCAGACGCTCTTATCCAGAGCGACTTACAGGAGCAATTAGGGTTAAGTGCCTTGCTCAAGGGCACGTCGACAGATTTTTCACCGTGTGTGTTACAATTACGATATGCCAAGCATTTATTAACTAGTAATAACCATTAAGAAGATATGAGACTGATATACTAGTGCTAAAGTAAATAAACGAATATATTATCCAAACAATAAAACTCATTAACTTCACAGTGTATCACTCATTGTTTTATTAGTCATCTCAGCCAGAGTCCAGACAGTATACTGCCGAGCTGTAGCAGTGAATGAATCATAGATATGATGATTGCAATTGTGTTTATTGGATTAATAAAATGAAATAAACCGCAATCTGTTTTCCATAGACACAGATCTAGTCAGCAATAACTCCCCCAATCCTAACCATTAGTGGGAGAAACTCAAAACTCACCTTAGATCAGTGTCTAGGAGCATCTTGTTTATGAGGCAGGAGGTGCTAAGGCTGTTAACAGACTGTGAGACAGTGATAAGCATGACACCAGCCAGTCCCTGTACTTTATAAGCCATCTTAACTATGATGGAGCTAGACACTGGGACACTGGGACATTCCACCAAGGTCCCCAGCTGTCACAGTGAGTGACAACAACACCCTTGTCTATATCACTAACTGCCCCACCCACCCACCCATTCTGGGGATCGATGACACTGCTGTCACTATCTGTCTGTGGTCTGTCACTGACAGAGTGTGGTCATCATGGTGTGGGGTAAATTATTTTTCAACTCACAATTCAGGAAGCATGTTTAAACCCTGGTGGCCACCCACTCCATCCAACGACGACAGCAGTGTTTTCACAGATAACGGAAGAAGCAGAGAGAGGGTGGTAAAACAAACGACAGACGTCTCATCTGTACGACAGTCGACAGGTTCCCCTCGCAAACCTGTCAACCCCACCCGTGTGTGACAGAGGGGGGATTCAGACCCCCCCACACTAGGAAGAGAGTGGTATGTTCCGCTCCTAAATCACTATGACAGGGGAAAGAAGGAAAGGACAACCCCTGCATTCCACACAAAGACCAATCCTTCCCTGCATTGGCTTGTTTGCAGTGGAAATGTGATTATTTAAATCATTTTGACATTTACCACAGTCAAATAGCATGGTAATATGAGGAATAGTGTTTAATCCTTGAAGAAAGCCAACAATTATTACAACAGACATACTAGAAGGCAAGTCAGTATAAAGTAATTTTTTCTTTTTTTACTGGCAACCACGTTTTATTGCGCAATAAAAATGTAAAGGTACAGCGACCAATGAAAACCAGTGAAAACTGAGCCCTATTTAGCAGGTATAATAAAACGCCACAAAGCGACCAACTGACCCCTTTCTCTCTCCGAACGTTCAAATATTTGAATCACAACAATGATTCGAAACCGACCGTACCTCGACCAATCAGTGTCTAGAGTGATATCAGCTCCCTCCTTCCCTGTGACACACCTAACCGCCCCTGGCCTATCAGGTACAGAGCAAACAAACAGGTTGTTTGACTTTAGAGTCAATCCCACACTTTCACTGACAGTTTGGCTTTCTCAAAAATCTGCTTGAGAAAGTGCAATCTCTCTCTCCTCTCACGCAGACACACACACAGTGAAACTTTTCCCTATAAGAACTTGGTAACTAACCGTTGTGCCCTGGATCCAGTAGAAGAGTTTCTATCACACAGTGTGAGCAAACAGACAGACTACGGATGTAGGATCACATATCAGCAGCCTACAGACATGCTGCCAGATATCCTGCTGTCTGTGTGATAGTAAGAAGAACAGGGGAAATCACCCTCTCTCATCATCTCTACCATAATGACCATTATATCCTACAGACTGACAGAATGGGAAAGACAATCATACTAGAATCAATCTATCTATTACTCAGGAATTCAATATGCATGACATGAGATGATTGGTTCGGGAAATGAATAGATTGAATGAGGACGTGAAGGAAAGGTTCTTAGTAGTTGCCAAGTGGATGTATATTATGCGAGTGTGGGGAGGAGAGGAAAGGAGAGCAGGAAACAAAGAAACTGTAGCTGACAGAGATAATCACTGCAGATGATTGGGGATGACTGGGGCCTCCCTGAGACAGACAGACAGCTGTGCATCTGTCTCTCCCTACACACAACTGGCACACACATCAATCACGTCTCCACACACAAACCCACCCAACTGCCATAGGTATCAATCAGGGGAGGACAGGAGATACTGACACCACGGCAAATCATTTTAATACCATTATCAACTATCACTAATATAACTTGAACATCTCTGTTGACAGACAACTGGGATGTGACTTTATCATGATAGCATGATAGTGTTTAAATACAGGCAATGTGTCAGGCACAGGTAGTAGGAACGTTGGCCGTGAGTCTGACCAGTGGCCCTTTAAATGAAACCATGTTCCAGGATCAATGGTTTACTCTACAGGAATGTGCAGAGTGACTGGGTTCACCGAGAAATACTGGCAGGTTTATAGACCACTAGAAAAAGATGGAGCTCATCTATCAGTTCACTCTTTAAAGTTGTTAAACTATGGTTGCATCCCAAATGGCCCCGTTCCCTATATATTGCACTACATAGTGAATAGGGTGCCATCTGGGACACTCACTATATGTTTCCCATCCACACCGCTGCTCTCACTCATATTCCCCTTCACCAGGAATGAATTGTGCAAAGTCAGCAGAGAGTTGTCAGTGTCAACTGTAATTCCTCCACTGGCAGTCCATTCAACTGAAGGAAGAGATAGTCTGCTACATTTCTTAGCTCATCCCATCCTCCTTCCTTCCCTCTCCTTCTCTCTCTCACTACCTCTCCCTCCCTCTCTTCACCCATCACTATCGCTCACTATCTTTATCGGTCTCTGTCCGTCTGTATCTGTGTCTCATCCCTGTCTGTCCAGCAGGCCCGGTGGACTCTACACCCAGAACCCTTTATCTAACAGGATTAGTGTTTATGTACGTCTGGCCGCAGCTTTGATCTGCTCTGGCCTGAAGACAGACACACGGATTGCGTCTCAAATGGTGCCCTGGTCCCTTTATAGTCCAATACTTTTGACCAGGGCCCATAGGGATCTGGTCAAAGGTAGTGCACTATATAGGGAATAGGGTGCCACTTGAAACACAACCATGAACATACCTGAGAATAAAGATGTCTGGGGAGATGAGAGGGGCTTTCACTGAGTGCTTCCAGACACACTGACAGTAATAGAGGAGAGGAGAGGAGAGGAGAGGAGGAGAGCTTCTGGCCACTACTCCTCTTCTGAGGCTGCCAGAGGTAGTGTCCAAAAGTGTACCCTGCCATATTCTATGTCTATCTGTAACTCTGTGGCCCTGGCTGTTTTGGAAGCGCTGGTGATGATGTCAAAGAGGTTTCCTCCTATCCCACTAGACTAGAGAAATTCACTTCATGTCATAACTCAGACACACATACACAAAAACACACACAGCTGTCCCAGCAAAATCCCACTCAACATCTGCATCTCGCTAGTGGGTTCCCGAGACCCCTCTTCTTCATCCTCTTCCCCCTCCTCTTCCTCCTCCTCCTCCTCCTCTCCCTACGGTACAACCACAGACTCAAGTGTGAGCTAACAGGGATTACTGCGCTCTCACTTAGCCAGTCAGTCACTCAGCCATAGTTGTGAGGAGAGGAGAGCAGAGCGGCAAGCAGGTAGGGACACAAAAGACTCCTTTCACCCCAGGATGAGAGAAGGGGAGCTAACAGGGAATAACATCCCTTCGACAGCACTGGAACAGGTGGGATTACAACACAGGAACAGACATCTACTTATCCTTACTACAGGGAGAAATGAAATTGTTCCAGAGTGATCATGAAATGCAATCATGACACCCTATTCCAAATCCAATCCAATCAAATTGTATTTGTCACATGCTTTGTAAACGACAGGTGTAGACTAACAGTGTAATGCTTACTTACGGGCCCTTCCCAACAATGCAGAGAGAAAAAAAATAGAGAAATAATAGAAAAGTAAAACACGTAATAATACAAGTAATAATAAATACACAATAAGTATCGATAACTTACCTATATACACGGGGAACCAGTACTGAGGTGATGTGCAAGGGTACGAGGTAATTGAAGTAGATAAGTACATATAACTACATTGCCTTCAGAAAGTATTCACACCCCTTGACTTTTTCCACATTTTGTTGTGTTACAAAGAGGGATTCAAAAGGATTTAACTGTCTTTTTTTTGTCAACGATCTACACACAATAATCTGTAATGTCAAACTCGTAGAAAAATTCAAATATTTAGAAAAAAATGTATGGAAAATAAAACACATATTTTGATTAGATAAGTATTCAACCCCCTGAGTCTATACATGTTAGAATCACCTTTGGCAGCAATTACAGCTGTGAGTCTTTTGGGGTAAGTCTCTAAGAGCTTTGAATACCTGGATTGTACAATATTTGCACATTATTCTTTTTTAAATTCTTAAAGTTGGTTGTTGATCATTGCTAGACAACCATTTTAAAGTCTTGCCATAGATTTTCAAGCTGATTTATGTCAAAACTGTAACTAGGCCACTCAGAAACATTCTACGTCATCTTGGTAAGCAACTCTAGTGTATATTTGGCCTCGTGTTTAAGGTTAATGTCTTGCTGAAAGGTGAATTTATCTCCCAGTGTCTGTTGGAAAGCAGACTAAACCAGGTTTCCTCTAGGATAATTGCCTGTACTTACAGTTGAAGTCGGAAGTTTACATACACCTTAGCCAAATACATTTAAACTCAGTTTTCCACAATTCCTGACATTTAATCAGAGTAAAAATTCCCTGTTTTAGGTCAGTTAGGATCACCACTTTATTTTAAGAATGTGAAATGTCAGAATAATTCCCAGTGGGTCAGAAGTTTACATACACTCAATTAGTATTTGGTAGCATTGCCTTTAAATTGTTTAACTTGGGTCAAACGTTTCACAAACTTCCCACAATAAGTACATTTTGGCCCATTCCTCCTGACAGAGCTGGTGTAACTGAGTCAGGTTTGTAGGCCTCCTTGCTCACACACGCCTTTTCAGTTCAGCCCACACATTTTCTATAGGATTGAGGTCAGGGCTTTGTGATGGCCACTCCAATACCTTGACTTTGTAGTCCTTAAGCCATATTGGCACAACTTTGGAAGTATGCTTGGGGTCATTGTCCATTTGGAAGACCCATTTGCGACCAAGCTTTAACTTCCTGAATGATGTCTTGAGATGTTGCTTCAATATATCCACATAATTTTCCTTCCTCATGATGCCATCTATTTTGTGTAGTGCACCAGTCCCTCCTGCAGCAAAGCACCCCCACAGCATGATGCTGCCACCCCCGTGCTTCACGGTTGGGATGGTGTTCTTCGGCTTCCAAGCGACCCCCTTTTTCCTCCAAACATAACGACGGTCATTATGGCCAAACAGTTCTATTTTTGTTTCATCAGACCAGAGGACATTTCTCCAAAAAGTATGATCTTTGTCCCCATGTGCAGTTGCAAACTGTAGTCTGGCTTTTTAATGGCGGTTTTGAAGCAGTGGCATCTTCCTTGCTGAGCGGCCTTTCAGGTTGTCGATATAGGACTCGTTTTTACTGTGGATATAGACACTTTTGTACCTGTTTCCTCCAGCATCTTCACAAGATCCTTTGCTGTTGTTCTGGGATTGATTTGCACTTTTCGCACCAAAGTACGTTAATCTCTAGGAGACAGAACGCGTCTCCTTCCTGAGCGGTATAACGGCTGCGTGGTCCCATGGTGTTTATACTTGTGTACTATTGTTTGTACAGATGAACGTGGTACCTTCAGCCATTTGGAAATTGCTCCCAATGATGAACCAGACTTGTGGAGGTCTACAATTTTTTTTCTGAGGTCTTGGCTGATTTCTTTTGATTTTCCCATGATGTCAAGCAAAGAGGCACTGAGTTTGAAGGTATGCCTTGAAATACATCCACAGGTACTCAAATGATGTAAATTAGCCTATCAGAAGCTTCTAAAGCCATGACATAATTTTCTGGAATTTTCCAAGCTGTTTAAAGGCACAGTCCACTTAGTGTAATGTAAACTTCTGACCCACTGGAATAAGTGAAATAATCGGTCTGTAAACAATTGTCGGTCTGTAAATAATTACTTCTGTCATGCACAAAGTAGATGTCCTAACAGACTTGCCAAAACTATAGTTTGTTAACAAGAAATTTGTGGAGTGGTTGAAAAACGAGTTTTAATGACTCCAACCTAAGTGTATGTAAACTCCCGACTTCAACTGTAGCTTTATTATGTTTATTTTTATCCTAAAAACCTCCCTAGTCTTTGCCGATGACAAGCATACCCATAACATGATGCAGCCACCACCATGCTTGAAAATATGAAGAGTGGTACTCAGTGATGTGTTTGTGTTGGATTTGGCACAAACATAACGCTTTGTATTCAGGACAAGAAAATAATTTTTTTGCCTTATTTCTTACTTCAGTGCCTTATTGCAAATGGGATACATATTTTGGAATAATTTTCTTCTGTACAGGCTTCCTTATTTCACTCTGTCATGCAGGTTTAGTATTGTGGAGTAACTACAATGTTGTTGATCCATCCTCATTTTTGTCCTATCACAGCCATTTAACTCCGTAACTGAGTGGTTTTCTTCCTTTCCAGCAACTGAGTTAGGAAGGACGCCTGTATCTTTGTAGTGATTGGGTGTATTGATACACCATCCAAAGTGTAATTGATCACTTATCCCCCCCCCCCCATCTATCAATAGGTGCCCTTCTTTGCGAGGCATTGGAAAACCTCCCTGGTTTTTGTGGTAGAATCTGTGCTTGAAATTCACTACTCAACTGAGGGACCTTACAGATAACTGTATGTGTGGGGTACAGAGATGGCGTAGTCAATCAAAAATCATGTTAACCACTATTACTGCACACAGAGTGAATCCATGCAACTTTTTTTATTTTTACTCCTGAACTTATTTAGGCTTGCCATAACAAAGGGGTTGAATACTTATTGACTCAATACATTTCAGCTTTTCATTTATTATTAATTTGTAAAATATTATAAAAACAATATTCCCCTGTGACATTATGGGGTATTGTGCGTAGACCAGTGACACAAAACCTCAATTTAATCCATGCTAAACTCAGGCTGTAACCCAACAAAATCTGGAAAAGGTCAAGGGGTGTGAATACTTTCTGAAGGCACTGTAGGAATAACGTTATAGACCCTTCTCCTGTTACCAAGCCATTCCCGTCTAAGGCTGTGTGCTGCTTCCATTTTAACCTGTGGTTATCCCCATTTAAGGCCAGACCCAGGGAGAAGAAAAGAGCCACTGTTACAGCAAGACGACTACTAAAATGAGTCCAAATGAAGGACTAACAGCTTGATTTGCTATTTAGCTGTTGTTACTCCATCTTATCCACAATAGGCTGGTCTAGGCCATTGTCCTCTCTCTCACAGCTAGAGGGCTGCTCAACGAGTTGTTACACTGGACCTGAGATTCTAAACACAGATAGAACAGAGTGCTTTGCTGTTGGTTGCCCATGTTGTCACTATAGGCCTAAGGTTTCAGATGGTGGTGGCTGAAAGCTGGAATTGCATTACAAGGTATATTAGATTAAGAAGCCAAGGGAGAGAAAGCGAGAGAGGGGGAGAGAGTGGAGAGAGTTTCATGTTCATTGTCTATTAAATTAGCTGGCAATAATTCGCCGGGTGTCATGCGATGTTCATCTGCTGTGAGGACAGAGACCGAGAATAGAGCCTGATGGGCATTTCTACACTACAGGAATACAGTCACACGATGGATCACTGGATGGTCTCATCCACCAGCCGGCTCTCTCTCTCTCTCTCGGTTATATTTGCTAGCAATTATCCTGGGGACGAGGTCACTGGTGGCTACAGGGTCCTGTTGCTTTATCAGGGTTCATTAACTTCCCAAATCAGCAGCAATCAAAGTGCTCTCGTCGTCTCGTTGGAAGACACATACCGTCTTAATTGATTTTCACCGCTTAGATCTACTTAGCGGTTAACTCTGCAACTCAGCATCTCTTCCTACCTCTCTGTTCTCTCTCCTCTAATCGAGTTCCGGCTCTCCATTTCCCCTCATTATAAGGTCAGAGGTCATCATATCCAGGTGTCTCCTACTCATCACCAGATGGAAAGGTAGACGTGGCTCTCATGCACTGACCTAGGACCAGTTGTACCCTCCCCCAATATTAACCGTAGCGATTTGTTAGGGAAAGTGCAAAACTGACCTTCGATCAGTTTCTAGGGGCAACTTCTTCCTACTCCCCTCCAGACTGTTCTAAGGTGGAGGAAAGGGGGGAGGAAAAAAGGAGGGGTATTAGAAACAGGGGAGGAGAGGTTGATTAGAAAGAGGGAAAGGAGCGAAGAGATGGGGGAGGAACGAGAAGGGGTATGTCCGGAACAGATTAAGGGAGGGTTTAAGGCGTCCACATGCTTCCCAGACTAAACAGTTCGGAATATATTGCGACGTTTTTGTTCGTTTTGGACTTCAGTAAGGTTTTTTCAGCTGTTCGGGCACAACAGGCAAGCCGAAGTTGGTAGCCGAAGTCTACGCCCCTTCATCAGTGATTGGTCAACAGTAGGGATTCTTCAATAAAGTCTTTGTCATTCAATGAGAGACGACTCGTTTTCATGCACATTATTTCCTGAGTGCCTGTCCCTTACGGTTGTCAGAGCAGCTTTCCGATCACTGCACCTGTACACAGCCCATCTGTAATTAGCCCACCCAACTACCTCATCCCCATATTGTTATTTATTTTTGCTAATTTGACCCCAGTATCTCTATTTGCACATCATCTTCTGCACATCTATCACTCCAGTGTTAATACTAAATTGTAATTATTTTGCACTATGGCCTATTTATTGCCTTACCTCCATAACTTATTACATTTGCAAACACTGTATATAGATTTTCTATTGTGTTATTGACTGTATGTTTTGTTTATCTCATGTGTAACTCTGTGTTGTTGTTGTTTTTATCGCACTGCTTTGCTTTATCTTGGCCAGGTCGCAGTTGTAAATGAGAACTTGTTCTCAACTGGCCTACCTGGTTAAATAAAGGTTAAATAAAAAAACGGAGACGCACGCTTACTCTTTAAGAATAGTGGCCACAGCAACTACACAGCCACCATGGGCTGACCTAAATACTCCTCTGTAGCCGGGGCCTTGGAGCATGGCCAGACAGAGAGCAAGAGAGAGAAAGAGAGAGGGGGGAGAGAGGGAGGTGAGAGAGAGAGAGGAGAGAGTGAGAGAGGGGGAGAGAGGGAGGTGAGAGAGAGAGAGAGAGAGAGAGAGAGAGAGAGAGAGAGAGAGAGAGAGAGAGAGAGGGGGGGGGGGGAGAGTATGAAGAGAGAGATACAATATGTAGAGAAAGAGAGATGGAGCGAGAGACAGAGGATGCACCAGGGTTTGACCTAGGTTCTGTGATTATATGATTACATGTTCCTGACAAGATAAAACCCCTTTACCCATTACTTTATCTGCCTTATCTGCTGTAGTCAATCAGTGACAAAATTGATTAATTATCAGCATATTTCCCTGCTCAGATTGCTTTGCTTTCTCCTTTTAGCTGGATATGAGTACAGAATTCACAAACCCTGCATCACACTAGAGCTAGAGAGAGAGCGATAGAGAGGAGGAGTGGGGAGGGAATATGGGAAAGAGAGAGAGAGAGATGGAGAGAGAGAGAAAAGAGAGAGGGAGATCTTCAATAACAGTGTTTAAAAAGTAAAATAAAGTGGCATGCTACTGCACTGTGAGAGGGAAGAGGGTATGAGATGAGGAGATAGCTCTGTCTGTCTGGGTGATAAACTCACTCAGCAACACAACACAATGACGAAACCACCCTACCAAATCAAAACAATACACAAAACATGTCAACAATGAAGCACAGTCAATCAGGCCTATCAAAACTACTCATACCGCTAGGCCAGGGTAAAGTATCTTATTTCCTTAACATTTTAGCTTACATTTTCACACTAGTGAAGAGACACAGAAGCACATGAAAAGAAAGCACATGAGAAAGAATCACTACTGTCGATTACTTATAGGTTTTACATTTGACCTAAAACTTACAGCTTTTAAATTCCCCTAAACTTAACCTAACCTTGAAATCACCTGGGTTGTAAATCAAAGAATGTTCTCTGATCACTCAATCAGATTAAGGAATTTAAGGAACATACAAAGTAGTGATGGGGGGGGGGAATCGATACAGTTATATATTGGGATATTATTTTTGACGATATATCATATCATTTTGACAATATTGCAATATTATTTTTGCGCTAGTTGGCTGTACCTGCACAAAAACGTCAGTACTTGTCCTTCACAGCTTGTTCTCCATCTTCTTTTTAAATAGGGAGCCAATATATTTTCAGCACTTTTAATTCCATGACTGATCAAAACTCGTTTTCTCAAGACTCTCTCTTGTCCCACTGCAGCAGACATTTGGTGAGAAATATGTTTGGAACATCGAATCGCAATAAAATCACAGTATTGAATTGGAATGCATATAGAACCGTGAGTATCGCAATACATTTCGGCACGTAAGTACTGTGATAAAATCATATCGTGAGGTCCCTGGCAATTTCCAGCCCTAATACAAAGTTAGAATGGATGAATGCTATGAACTTTCTAATCTTATGACATTCATGATCAAGGTAAGAACAGTATTGGACTAATGTCACACAGCTGCCTCAGGCACACACACAAAAGCAGACAGACACACACACATGCACACACAAGCGCTTGCATGCAGGCACACACATACAGTGTCCCACACATGCTAATGTATGGTCAAAGACAGTATTCCCCCTCTCCCTCTTTCTTCAGAGAGCTATAGACCTCCCACCTGAAGCACATCTGCTTTCTGCAGCAGCAGCCACCCTCTCTCTCCATCTCCCACACTCTGTCCCTCACTCTCTCTCCCGCCCTCCCTCCCCCTCCCTTAGACTGGTATGGCTGCAGCACCCATAGACTGACATCTCAGTATAACTCAGTGTAACACACTAGATTACTTTCTCAGACATCCTCTCTTATTAATAACCTCCACAGGCACTCAGAGATATTCCACAGGAATGCATTCATCTGTAAGAGAGATTAAGGAATGCTCTTTTATATGTGCAGGTCTGTCTTGGCAAGCGTGTGTGTGTGTGGAGGAGGGGATTGTGTGTGTGTGTGTGTGCATGATCCATGTCTCTGACCATTAGCGCTCTCTGAGTACGTTTACATGCACACTAATAATTCAATATTAAACTGATTTTGGCATTAGTCATGTAAACACCTTACTCTGCTTATCTTAATCGGCATTAGGTCATAATCGAAGTAAGCATATCTGAGCAATCTTTCAAATTATTAGGACACGTAAACACCTTCATCAGAGTTGCAGCGGTTTATTTGCATGTGCTAGCACGAGCGTCCTTCTTTTACGTGAGTGACGTGATTTTAGAAAAACTAAAAGTATTCATTTTAGAAACAGTTTTTACAAACAAAATCTATATGTCAGAATTCAGAATCAAATAGGCTTCACAAAAATAACGTGGTCGCTGTGGTAGAAAGTTTATTTTGATTGCCGATTTTCTGTATTTATCAAAGTCCCATCAGGTAGGCTGGTTTCAGATGTGTCCATGTAAACAGGATTATTAGGGAAATCGTTCTTGCAAAGAATGTAAATGTGTAAATCAAACTATTATATTAATCTGACTATTCACAATAATGGCATTATTGTGTGCATGTAACCATACTCTCTGGAAAGAGTCTGAAGGCATTCCTTTGTTCCTCGACACTTATAGTGTTATGGTAGAGTGTAGCAGTGTTAGCCCCCTTCGTTGCCAGACAGGTAAACTGGGGTCTGCTCTGCACGGTGCTCATTTAGAATCTGCACGGTTACTAAATCCAACACGGAGATTACAACATAGAGATCCATCGAGGTCAACACATCTGGTGGTAGCACAAATAATTAACTACCGTCCTATGACACTTATGACATGTTTCAGCAGCACAATAACAAACTATTTGGAAGCACTTCAAAATATGTAATATAAGAGCTATTTCCCCCCTTCTCATAAGTATCTTTCTTAATCATTTAGCAGACGCTCTTATCCAGAGCGACTTACAGGAGCAATTAGGGTTAAGTGCCTTGCTCAAGGGCACATCGACAGATTTTTCACCTAGTCGGCTCGGGGATTAGAACCAGCGACCTTTCGGTTACTGGCACAACGCTCTTAACCACAAAGCTACCTGCCGCCCCACGAGGGGGTGTGGCAGGGTGAGTTAATTGGTTCCATTGCCACAGGCGGTTCTAACTCTGTGTGTCTTCTCTCTCTCTTGTCACAACGCCCTCCTCCCTCCATTTTGTCAACAATTAATTTCCATCTACGATAAAGCGGTCGTCGACAATAACACCACACAGGTAGACACAGTCAACATGCTGCAACACGGCTCCTAGAACTTTAATAACAGTGTGTGTGACTGTGCGCGCGTGTGTGTATGTGCTCGTGTGTCTGTGTGCGTGCGTCTTTTAATGAGCACTGAAGGTATTTCATATCTCTCTCGCTGAGTGGAGTGTGGCGGGGCCAGAACCATAACTCATAGCCAGCAGAATGAAGTACCTCTATCTCTGAGGAGAGATATCATAGTTGTGTGATGTGAGGATGCGAAGTAAAGTGAGGGTCGTCACTCCAGGCGCGTTACTGAAGTCATACAGTAATTTACTATTTCCCCTTAACCCCCCACTGTGTAGGGAGGGAGGGATGTAAATATATTTTCTTTTCTTTTTTTGACAGGGAGTCAATGCTGAGACCAAGGTCTATTTACCACATGAGCCATGTTTAGCACAATACATGTCAAAATACAATATACATATTAAACTACACATCCATATACACATTAAATACATGTTATTATATACAATACATGAAAAGCAACAAAAAAAACACGTCAGTGGAATTCCTCTTATCCCTAGACAGCCTCTTATCCCTCCCAGAGAAAAGGAGGAGAGGAGGCTGAGGAGGACCGGAGAAGGCTGAAGGCCTCTTCACTGTCTGTACGTAGGAGGTAAAGGTATCTCATCCCTCCATTCCTGCTCTCCCTGTCATCCCTCACTACCACCCACAATGCACTGCTGCTTAACAGCTCCCCAAAGGAGAGGACGGGGGGAGGACGGGAGGAGAGGAGGAAGGGAGGAAGAGGGGGATGGTGGATTCCTCTCTATTCCTTTACTTCCACAATCACATTCCCTCGCTCTCTCTCACTTCAAAAGAGTCTCCTGGTGAGCCAGGGATTATTCACCTTCAGTCAAGCAGAAAGCTTCATTTCACTCTGAAAAAGACCACAATTACATCCCATTCCACTGCAATAAAACAGCAGCCCTCGTAATATTCAGTTAACCACTCTATTCTTATGTGAAAACACTTCAGAAGCCTTTAGTATTAGTTGACTGGTGTTTCAGTCTAGAGCCTACCTCTTCAACCATGAGGAGCCCTGTATTTCTCTATCACCCCATCTCTCCCCACACACGTATGTAGTTTGGCTTACACACATTCCTCCATCCGCCTCATTAATGGGACTACAGATGTGTTAGTATGGGGCCTGGGCCTTTACTGAGCCTTTACACATTTCCATTTCACACTTGTACATGTTACCCACTTATACATGCAGTGAAACAGGATAAATATAAGCATCCACTATTTGACCTTTGTGGATTTGTGCCTCAGAAGTGTTGTGGTGTGGAGCTAGAGAGATTGGGTTGAAGCCTTTTCATCCAGCTCAGAGACCAGAGTGGAAGGAGTGGGTAATAGAGAGCACCTGGCCTAGTCTGCCTGCCTCTGTAGATTTCCCCTGATCTGCCTCTCTCCCTGCCTAATCTCTCTCTCTCCTCTTAAACCCCAGTGTGGTGGGCTGGGCCGGTACAGCTTTGTTCCTTGGACCAGAGGGGTAGTAAAACCGAGGGGAACCAGAACAGAACAAGGCACGGTGGAGGAGGAGGAGATGGTGGCTGCCTTCCTGCTACTGAGGTATTTAAGGTTTACAGCCCTGGTCCTGGGCAGCAGAGAGAGAGAGCGGGCAGGGCAGGCACCCAGCCAAAACTCAATTAAAACATCAATAACTCAGCCAAGAGGAGCACCAGGTGGGCATGAGCCTATTGCCTATTCACTCACAAGTCAACTCACAGGCTGATCACAGACTTGTAGTTTTGAAGTGGATGTAAAGGGTACATGCTTCTGTATTTGCTTTCATTTGTCTTTAAATATTTGTTCTAGTTTGTACAAGAACATGTTACATTCGTGCAGAGAAGTAAAATATATTAGTTATGGCATTGGTTTTTTATTGGATAGGCATCTATGGTGAGCAGGAAAATGATTGTAAGAAATAAAAATCCACATGTGAAGTTTTGTCCGTAAATCTATTGTAGTCTGATAATTATTAGGTTTCAAATCCCCCATGACAGTTTTAAACATCCGGAAAATGATCAATGATTTATAATTGAAACCCTTTCTTAGAGATGACAGTGTGTCTGTGGGCTATCCTCGCGGCGGTAGGCAGCTAAAGACGTCTAGCATAGAGTAGGGGTGAAATAGTGGGGATGTTTCACAATAACTAATTAGGTATGAAAACTACAATTATACCATCCCCTTTGAACAGCAGTCATTTGTTCACGTTTTATTTGGTTTCCTCAGAAATGTGACAGGAGACATAAAAAGAGGAATGAGAGGTATGTCTCTAGTCTCTATACATCCTACGGCAAACGCTTTCAGATAGCTACAGTTGAAGTCGGAAGTTTACATACACCTTAGCCAAATACATTTAAACTCAGATTTTCACAATTCCTGACATTTAATCCTAGTAAAAATTTGCTGTCTTAGGTCAGTTAGGATCACCACTCTATTTTAAGAATGTGAAATGTTAGAATAATAGTAGAAATAATTATTTATTTCAGCTTTTATTTCTTTCATCACATTCCCAGTGGGTCAGAAGTTTACATACACTCAATTAGTATTTGGTAGCATTGCCTTTAAATTGTTTAACTTGGGTCAAACGTTTCGGGTAGCTTTCCACAAGCTTCCCACAATAAGTTGGGTGAATTTTGGCCCATTCCACCTGACAGAGCTGGTGTAACTGAGTCAGGTTTGTAGGCCTCCTTGCTCGAACACACTTTTTCAGTTCTGCCCACACATTTTCTATAGGATTGAGGTCAGGGCTTTGTGATGGCCACACCAATACATTGACTTTGTTGTCCTTAAGCCATTTTGCCACAACTTTGGAAGTATGCTTGGGGTCATTGTCCATTTGGAAGACCCATTTGCGACCAAGCTTTAACTTCCTGACTGATGTCTTGATATGTTGCTTCAATATATCCACATAATGTTCCTTCCTCATGATGCCATCTATTTTGTGAAGTACACCAGTCCCTCCTGCAGCAAAGCACCCCCACAGCATAATGCTGCCACCCCCGTCCTTCACGGTTGGGATGGTGTTGTTCGGCTTGCAAGCATCCCCCTTTTTCCTCCAAACATAACGATGGTCATTATGGCCAAACAGTTCTATTTTTGTTTCATCAGACCAGAGGACATTTCTCCAAAAAGTACAATATTTGTCCCCAGGCTTTTTTCTGGCGGTTTTGGAAGTTTTCTGAGTTTGAAAGTAGGCCTTGAAGAATATCCACAGGTACACCTCCAATTGACTCAAATGATGTCAATTAGCCTATCAGAAGCTTCTAAAGCCATGACATAATTTTCTGGAATTTTCCAAGCTGTTTAAAGGCACCGTCAACTTAGTGTATGTAAACTTCTGACCCACTGGAATTGTGATACAGTGAATTATAAGTGAAGTAAACTATAGTTGGTTACAAGGAATGTGTGGAGTGGTTGAAAAACAAGTTTTAATGACTCCAACCTAAGTGTATGTAAACTTCCGACTTCAACTGTATGTGGTCTATATGGTCGTAATGTTGTTACTATCAAGGGCTTAATAAATCACTTTTGGAGAGCAGCAAACCGTAAGTGGATATATCTGTCTTTCCTCAGCTGGCTAGAGTAGCCTGACATTACAGAGTAATAGGTTGGATTATTTTATATCTCATACCACATTAGAGCAACAGATACAGTAACTGGTATACAGACAATTTAATATATGGTTTTTTATCAATGTCTGGCTACTGATGGCTCTTCCTATTAAATTAAACTCCTGAGTGATGTCCAGTCACTAATCCAGACCGCCATTATGGAGTGGCTTGAGTAAGATAGACACCAATACTTATATTATTATGCCTTTGCTTTGCACATTGTTAAGTTCTACACAGGGAATGTCTGTGGGGTTACAGCTTGCTTAGCGACAGTACAGGGGGTACACAGACGACAGAGGGTATTGGGGGTCATGCCATCTCTAGCTGTGTGTTGGTAATAGCTGTGAAAATGCCTCCACTCCTCCTCATAATACGCCTGCATGCCCCGGCACTACTTTTTCAAAAAGTCTCTGCGTCGCCCGGGCAACCCTTTCTTGGCTTTGTTGAAAAGAGCCAATCATCCGCGGGCGCGTAACTAAGTCTCCTGTTTATCAGTAACTAGGACCGACAATGCCTGTAACTTGACTCTGGTCCAACGGAGAGGGAGGGAGGGTGGGAGGGAGAGAAAGGGGGAAAGAGAGAGAAAGAGAGTAGGTGAAAAGAGCAGAGAGGAAGGCAAAAGAAACTGAGCAAGCCAAGAAAGCGAGGGAGAGTGAGTGGGAATGACAAGAGAAAGAGAAGACAGGAGAAATAAGGAAAAAGGAGCAAGGGAGTGCTAGCTAGCTAGAGGAAGATCTAATGACAGTGCAACTGATACTCCAGACCTGTCTTATTAGGACATGCACGGGTGGGTGTGTCTTAAACAGCGCAGCCAAGGAAGGGCTCTACCTGTAAGAAGGCGTCTCAAACAATAGTCAACTTTAGCCTTGCTATTTGTTAGGGTTCAGTTAACTGGTTTCGTTATTAAATGAGATCAGTAATAATATGCCATTTAGCAGACGCTTTTATCCATAGCGACTTACAGTCATGCGTGCATACATTTTTTGTGTATGGGTGGTCCCGGGGATCGAACCCACTACCTTGGCGTTACAAGCGCCGTGCTCTAGCCTCTCTCTCACACAGACATACAATAGGGCTGGCTCTATGGTAGGGGAGGGCCCTATTGTATGTCTGTGTGAGAGAGAGGCTAACCAGCCTCTGTTCCAGCTGAGCTACAGAGGACCAACTCAACTAAACTGGGTGTGATAGGGGAGTATTTGGTAATGGTACTGTATCTCTTAGAGAGATAGACTTGGAGGAATACATACACAGACTGTTTGGTAGTTATATCTGGTAGACCAATACAGACTAGCAAAGGACTTAACACCCAGCGGGGTAAGGGTCGTTGGGGGTGTGAGTTGGGATGGTGGGCGAGGGGTTGGTGTTTAAGGGGCAGGGGCCCGTGACTGGGTGACTGGTGGTGCATGGCTGGCCCGTGTGAGAGCGTGGTCACAGCTCACTGGTTCTCTCTCCCAGTTGTTGAATAGGGCCGTTTGACTAATGCCCCCAGCCTCTGTTCCGTTTATCCGCAGCTGGCAATGTACCCCTGCTCACACTATCCTACCTCTATTCCCTATGCATGTACCGTATGTCCAGCTGGCTCTATGGCAGGGGAGGGCCCTATTGTATGTCTGTGTGAGAGAGAGAAGAACCCAGTGCTGCTTCCGGGCTCTTGTGATGCAGGCTGATATGCCCATTGCTTTTCAATATATTTCAAAACATTTTCCATTCAATATTGTCCTCCAAGAGTCCAGACTCCAGAGCAGCTGAGTATCTCTGGCCCATCTAGTGACTGTGACACAGTGCTAGTGAGACAGAGCCAGCCCCCCTGCTGTCCTCCAGTCACACAGATCAGCAGGGGGACACTACACTGTGAGGCACTCAGCGCGAGGCTCTCTTTCACTGGGCCTTCAGACTCTAGCCACAGCCACAATAGACCCCGGGCAGGAGCCCCACTCCACCCCAAAATGACCCTAAGAGGAGCTTCTGGTTGCTATAGAGATAGCCCAGTGGGCACCAACAATCCTGCAAAGGCTTTTGGGATAAGTGAGAGAGAGGAGAGGAAGAAATTAAAGGAGGGGAAGAGAGCGAGACAGAGAGAGAGAGAGAGAGAGAGAGAGAGAGAGAGAGAGAGAGAGAGAGAGAGAGAGACAGAGAGAGACAGAGAGAGAGAGAGAGAGAGAGAGAGAGAGAGAGAGAGAGAGAGAGAGAGAGAGAGAGAGAGCAATGAAGAGAGAGGGGAATCTAGCCTATGCCAGTGTAATGCATGCCCACGCGGTACTGTCATCACTATAATAATAGAGCATTTACACTACCAGTCCCAGCCGTCCTTGCCTGCTTCAGTACCATGAGATATGTTCATACCAACCTCTGTTCCCCCGGAAGACATAACCACAACACCCCATTAAACCTGCAACCCCAATGGAAACTATGTCTGACTACAGTACACACGGATAGCACTCGTTAAATCAGCATATCCATGCTGTTTTTACTCACATCAGATCACAGCAGGTACATAGGGTCCTAACCCTCTCACACACACACACAAATGTTGTTGACTTATGAAAGCAAGGTGTATATGTAACTGTTTCTAGGCTGTGTGGCAACAGGCCAGTTAAAGGAAGTGATGAAGTTCATCCTGTGTTTAGTGTGTTTCTCAGTTTAAAAGCTAAAGATAAAGCCATGCACTCCCAACAGCTACAACACACCTTACTGAGCAAACATTCACTCAACAGGGCTGTGTAATTACTATAGGAGGAAAGCTTGGGGGATAGAGAGAGATACTGTAGTAGTCTAGTCTCTACTGCTAAATGACTGCACTTTATGTACATTGAGAGAGGACAGACTCCCAGGTCTGTTTGCTAAACAGTGACTAGTCAGAACTTATGGCTCCACACGAAAGCTAGCTCCATTCAACTCCAGCTCAGTCTCAGCTCAGCACAGTGAACTTTATTGCAGACTTGTTTATCTAATATCATTACACACTACTACAGTATCTATGACAGCAAAAGCTTACTAGCTTATTAATGCCATAATATTTAATTGAGTGAAAATTAATAGGCTGGAAATATTGTGGTGATATGAGGGCTGGGATAGTGTGACACACAAGCAGTGTGAGTGTCTGTGTGTACTGCAGGCATTCAAATGTATGTGCGTTCAAGCAATCCTGCGGGAGCCTGTGTGTGTGTGGTGATAGATGAGGATAAGGGGGTCAGTGAGTATGTGAGGCATCCCAGTATGAAAACTGTCATCACCCGAGTGAACGGATCTCATTCCTCACATCACCGACATGACTGGGGCCTCACATCCCCCACTTGGGAGTGGGACCCAGCCCAGAGACCCAGGACCGAGCTCCTGCAGCGTCCAGCTCCATAGCTAGAGCCCAGAGAGGGGCACAGCATGGTGGAAACAGCCTTGCTCTAGACGTTACGTTTTAGCAGATGCTCTTATCCAGAGCGACTTCACCTAGTCGGTTCGGGGATTCGAACCATCAATCTTTCGGTTACTAACCGCTAGGCTATCTGCCGCCCGTAGACCAGCCCATGACTCATGCCCTGCCTCATACCCTGAGCCCAGAGAGGGGCACAGCCTGAGGGAAAAAGCCTAGAACCTAATGTAGACCAACTTAACTGGGGCCTAGCAAGACCACATCTATTCAGGAACCAGAAGCGAAAATGTGACTTTTCATTACAGAGGGTAATTAGGCTCCATTCACTTGCATTGTCCTGCAGGCCATTACAATGTGTGTGAATCATAACGCCTTATAACAGTCTAGGCTAATAAGGGCTGGGGCTACTGGGGCTTTGACAAAACAACCCCTTCCCCTCGCTCCATTGTCAATGCATTTACATTTGCTCTACATTATTAGAGGGTCAGTTTCAAAGTCCCACTATATTACTGAAAGAAGAGAGGAGATGATTGTGATTGCAGAGGAATCCCTGTTATGACTGCCGGGGTATAGACCTAGTTCATTAAGATAATTATTACAGTGAAGAGACAAGGGCCCTCCTTCCCTGTCTGTGGAATCTCAGGGCCACACAGGCGAACTGTTGTGTTCACATGGGAAAATATTAGCCCTGATAGAGACAGCTAGAACGCAGAGAGATAATACACACAGTAAACAGGACAGGATCAATGTTCCTATCAAACACTGAGTGATGGAAACTGTTCTGAAAGAAACGGACTTGGACATTCACTCATTTGGATTCTAATAGTTAAACACAACGACGATACACAAGTAGTGTGTGTGTGTGTACGTGTTACAGCAGCTGCCCCGGGTGTGCCCTGGTGTCCATGCTGATAAGAATCTGCTGCCACTGTCCAGCATGCTAGGCTCTGGTCTAGTTGACTTCTAGGGTCATGACCCTGGGATCTGTGACCTCACTACCTCAGACCAGAGACAAACTCAGCTGACAGGGATCATAAATCCATACGATAATCAATAGATCAATAAGAGGAATTAATACAGATACACACTTTCTCAACCAACTGTCTCATCTCACCATAATGACAGAAAAGTTTGTCTTTGAAAATGAACAGGCGTTTCGAGGGTAATAGTGACCATAGATTCCATTCAATGGATCTCAGTGGACGTTTGTCATTCAGTAGTGTTCCCAGCAGCCAATCTATGAGTGGTGTGAGTGTCTATGGTGAGACAGTGAGAGGCTGTATCAGTGGAGTAGGCTAGATGTCTGCCTGTTATCAGTGAATCACTCTGTGAGTGAGTACAGTTGGCCAGCGGCCTGCACGGTTGCACTGAGGGTTGAGGGCAGTCCTCTGGCTGGCATTCTGCCGTTAGCTAGCCCGGTCCTGCCAACTAACCCTGATAAACGCTCTCCCTTCCTCCGTGACTCTCCCTCCCTATCTCTCTAGTAACTATCCTCCCTCTAACAAGAGAGAGGCAGATATACAGTTGAAGTCTGAAGTTTACGTACACTTAGGTTGGAGTCATTAAAACTCATTTTTCAACCACTCCACACATTTTTTGTTAACAAACTATAGTTTTGGCAAGTCGGTTAGGACACCTACTTTGTGCATGACACAAGTAATTTTTCCGACAATTGTTTACAGACAGATTATTTAACTTATAATTCACTGTATCACAATTCCAGTGAAGGCCTACCTTCAAACTCAGTGCCTCTTTGCTTGACATCATGGGAAAATCAAAATAAATCAGCCAAGACCTCAGAACAAAAATTGTAGACCTCCACAAGTCTGGTTCATCCTCGGGAGCAATTTCCAAACGCCTGAAGGTACCACGTTCATCTGTACAAACAATAGTACGCAAGTATAAACACCATGGGACCACACAGCCGTCATACCGCTCAGGAAGGAGACGCGTTCTGTCTCCTAGAGATTAACGTACTTTGGTGCGAAAAGTTCAAATCAATCTCAGAACAACAGCAAAGGACCTTGTGAAGATGCTGGAGGAAACAGGTACAAAAGTATCTATATCCACAGTAAAACGAGTCCTATATCGACATAACCTGAAAGGCCGCTCAGCAAGAAAGAAGCCACTGCTCCAAAACCGCCAGAAAAAAGCCAGACTACGGTTTGCAACTGCACATGGGGACAAAGATCGTACTTTTTGGAGAAATGTCCTCTGGTCTGATGAAAAAAAATAGAAATGTTTGGCCATAATGACCATCGTTATATTTGGCAGATGTTATTGCGGGTATAGCGAAATGCTTGTGCTTCTAGCTCCGACAGTGCAGTAATATCTAACAAGTAATATCTAACAATTTCACAACATATACCCTATACACACAAATCTAGTAAGGAATGGAATTTAAGAATATATACATATATGGACAAGCAATAACACACACACACACACAGTAGGGAGGGAGGGGTCATGAACTGAACACCTCCAACATGTTGTGTAAGGTAACATGGAGGTAGCCTGACACCTTTACAATAGAGAAGACAAATTCAATCCATCTGTGTTCTCCTGTCCGCTCCTCTCTCAGTATTAGACATTAGCCCAGAGGGGTTTAATAAAACACAAGACTTCAATCCATTCAATACATGTCTTACTCGGGGCCTTTGATATGCTTAGAGAAGGGATAAAGCTGGTGTAGTTAGGAGCTATAGGTGTGATGTGTGTGTGTGTGTTCTGCCAGATAACACCTTGTTGTTGCTCTGTTCTGACATTTGGAAGGGCTGTCAGCCGTCAGATGGTTGTAAAATAACACCCAGATGATTGTGTGTTAAGGGGAGAGGGGATATGTTGTCATGGGGGGGCTACAGACATGAGTGACAGGGACATTATTTATTCTATGGGCCATGGACCAGTTCATTCCATAGCAAAAAGGTACGGAGCATTTGGAAGAGTTTTATAAACTTTATAATCCCATTATTATCACCATTACAGTTGGTTTTGGGGTTTAATTTCTCTCTCTGAGCGAAGGCCATGTACCAACAAGTTTATATAAACACTCCTCTAACCATTACCTTAAAGGATTAGGATTAGTTAGATAGACAGACAGGCGTTCTCCAAGAGTCCTCTTAATACCTCTCATGCTACCATTCAGATGCATCACACACTCAATTCAATTTTTGTTCATAATACATCACAGAAATATTGTACATGGAGGATTGTGTACTGATAATAACAGTGCTATAGAGTTACAGCTAGGGCTGGGCATTCGATCCTCAGTGACATTTAAATGTTTTTACATTTACGTCATTTAGCAGACGCTCTTATCCAGAGCGACTTACAGTTAGTGAGTGAATACATTATTTTATTAATTTTTTCATACTGGCCCCCCGTGGGAGTCATTTATTTTAACACAGTGTGACTATCTGGCTCTTTCTTGAGTCATTTGTGTGTCTTAATTATTTAATCAAACAGTGTGCTTAAAGCATCAGACAAGCTCAGCGCATATGTAATTGATTTTATTCAAACACATAGGGTGTGTCTGTCTATGTATGGAAAAATACGTTTAAACATTTCGACCAATCGATTGGTTGAAAGAACAGGACAACTCTCGGTCAATCATTATTCTTTTTTTGTTGGGGGACAGCCATAATGCAAACACACACAAATGAATGTACGCATGCAGCACACACATCACACGCACAAACACACACACACAAATAGACACATACACACAACCCCTCCGGACCCCGTCACTCATTGCCCTGCTAAGACGGAGCACAGCAGCTTTAAAGTTCCATCCCCCCCCCACTCACTGTAGGGCCGACCCATGTAATGTCACACTGTTGTGCCGTTGGCTGAACAACATGCTTTACCAGCCCCTCGGTGTGAAGGACAAAGATCTCTATTGTTAGGTTAGAGAGAGAGAGTGGGGAGAAGAGAGAGAGTGGCAGGTGTGTCGTGTTACATTCAAATATGTTCCCTCCAGTCCGGCTAGAGCTGAGTGATGAAAACAGTGTCCTGCAGCATGTTGGTCATGTCAGAGGGATGTGACTGTGTGTATGTGTGTGTGTGTGTGTGTGTGCGCGCGCGCACATGTGGCCGTGTGTAGGTGTTTTGTCTGTGTATGCTTGAGCATGTGTCTGTTGTGTCTGAGAGGGGAAGTGCTCAGGTGATGGAGTGAGCACGAGGTTCCAGACCTCCACCTTATCCCTCCTCACCACAGGTGAGAGAGGGGGAGGGACACCTGTCAGAGAGCTATGCATCAATAGGACAGGTACCCTCGCCCTCACCCCTCTGTCTACCTCCGTCTACCACTGTGCCCACAGCAGAAGTGTTTGTTAGCAAACAACCTCACTATAATCCTGTGTAAACGTTGACAGACCTGCTGGAGAGAGTAAGAGAGCGAGAGCGAGAGAGAGCTTAGAGCAGGAGAGAACCAGCCTACCAGGATTATATCATTTCTCATCTGTAACACACCCTTACCTATAGAAATCACTCCCATGCTGACAAGGATTTCCTGTATTAGACAAAAGACCTTGATGTGAATGTATAAGAGGGTTTATGGCAGTAGGAGGGGTTGGTACAGTGCATTCAGAAATTATTCATACCCCTTGACTTATTCCACATTTTGTTTTGTTACAGCCTGAATTCAAAATTGATTAAATATATATTTTTCTCACCCATCTACACACAATACCCCATAATAACAAAGTGAAAACATGTTTTCAGAATTTTTTGGCCAATTTATTGAAAATGAAATACAGAAATATCTCATTTACATAAGTATTCACACCCCTGAGTCAATACATGTTAGAATCACCTTTAACAGCGATTACAGCTGTGAGTCTTTCTGGGCATGTCTCTAAGAGCTTTGCACACGTGGATTGTACAATATTTGCACGCTCTGTCAAGTTGGTTGTTGATCATTGCTAGACAGCTATTTTCAAGTCTTGCCATAGATTTTCAAGCCGATTTAAGTCAAAACTGTAACT